TTGGGGTATGGTCACCCCCCCTTTCCATTTTTTCTTTTTAAATACGGGATCGAGTCACCCTTTTCCTATTTTTCTATTCTAATATGCACTACATGTCATGTATATGTTATCAATAATGTAATTCTTTTGTCTCTATAAGCTGTTTTTAAATATATCGTTTTCGACTGATACATAATCTTTTATGTATCAGTTGAAAACGATAATATTTAAAAACAGCTTTTAGAGACAAAAGTTACATTACTGATAACATAAAGTGCATATTAGAATAGAAAAATAGGAAAAAGGTGACTCGACCCCAGATTTAAAAAGAAAAAAAAGTGGAAGGGGGGGGGGTTCCATACCCCCAAGTGTCTGTGCCTATCCCCTCTGAGAATTCAATCACGTCTTTTTTTTTTTTTTTAAAGTTTGTTTGCAATTGGTGATTCTTGTCAAAAATGACAAATTTACAGACAGGAATTCCTCAATTTGAAAAAAAATCTCTTGGGGCTATGGTTCAGAGGAGATAAAAGCAACGGACAGACAGGGAAGCGGTCGGTCAAAAGTTATTAGGCAATATAAAGTCAATATAATTTATATGCATTTTCAAGCCCCCCCCTTTTTTTTGTATGCGATATTTTTCATTTCAATAAGTCATTTGATGTTGAAAATAAAACATGATAAGTAATCTCAAAGATTATGAACTTCACCTCGACAAATATAATGTAGAGAGAGAGAATTTCATTGTAAATGAATGTTTTCAAGCCCGTATAAAGGCTAAACCGGGGGCAGTTTTTTCTTAGTATAGAATTTTGCTATAGTGAATTTTCCTTAAAGACCCCCCCCCTTCAAATGGCATCTTACAGGACTTGAAAGTTTTAAAATTAATGAACAATCGACTTTTTTTTAATTTTGCCTTGATCATGTTTTTTTAGGAAGCTGACTCCTTCCCCTTTATTTGAAACCGGTAATGCTTGATCCGAGTACAACTTAAAATCACCTGTAAATGAATCTGTTCAAAAAACTTTTAACTATCCAAACATCTTAATAATGTCGACTAAATCCAGGACACCAATCAAGTCTACTAAGGACGTATATATAACAGGCACTTGTTTCGTATAGTATAAAGTAGGGGTGCCCCGTATACTAAACAAGTGCCTGTGGGGTATCATGCGTCGCAAATTGGGACAAGATGCATAGGCGTCGGAAGCGGGGAGGGGGCTAATGGGTGCTTATCCCCATATTTTTTAATTTTAGCAAAGATAGACATCGTATAGGTATCAAACCGGGGCGTAGGTTTATAACCCCCCCCCCCCCACTTCAACAGTCACGTTGCAGTGTAGTCGAAGGGTAAGTGGTAATGATACTGAAAGAAGTTCTATCTTAAGCTCCCCCCATAGGATCTTCGTGTTAAGACAATAGACACATTTTCCCTCCTTTTTTTTTTTAGCTTGTCAAGTTTTTCTTACATGAAATTTTTTCTCTCTTTCACTTAGCCCCCCCCCCCCCAAACACTTTCAATTTGCTTCCGACGCCAATGACATGTTTAGGAATGGATACTTTCTCCAACAAGATGTGTTTCTGAAGCACTATGCGCCCGGCGGCAACAAAATTTTTAAAAAGCTATTTTTAACATATTATGTCACAGTCAAGGTCACAAGGCCATTGACCTTGATGTCATTTGAAAGAACTTGATTAGTAAAGTATCGATACCAAATATAAAGTCTCTATCTCTTATAGTTCAAAAGTTATGGCAAAGGTACGAAAAAGCTATTTTTAGCATATAGGTCACAGTCAAGGTCACAAGGTCATTAACCTTGGTGTCATTTGAAAGAGATTAATTAGTGGAGTATGCATACTAAATATGCAGTCTCTATCTTCTATGGTTCAAAAGTAATGGTGAAGGTTAAAGTTTGCAGATAAAAAGCTATTTTTAGCATATAGGTCACAAGGCCATTGACCTTGGTGTCATTTGAAAGAGCTTCATTAGTGGAGTATGCATACCAATATGAAGTCTCTATTTTTCATGGTTCAAAAGTTATGGCGAAGGTTAAAGTTTGCAAACAAACAAACAGACAGACAGGACAACAAGAGGCCCATGGGCCACATCGCTCACCTGAGAAGCTTTGACCATTCTGTTCTTTACCAGATATCCCACTTGTAATACATATTGTGACTCCACCCTACTCCACTGATCATAATTAAGACAATTTGAAATCTACACTACCATAGGATGCTTTGATTCCCCATTGTAAAACTTTGTTTCCCCATTGTGGCCCCGCCCAACCCCCGGGGGTCATGTTATGGACAAATGAGAATCTACACTACCCCAAGATGCTTCCACATAAGTTTCAGCTTTTCTGGGCCAGTGGTTCTTGAGTAGAAGATTTTTAAAAAATTTTCTTATATATGTCTATGTAAAACTTTGATTCCCCAAGATGCTTCCACATAAGTTTCAGCTTTTCTGGGCCAGTGGTTCTTGAGTAGAAGATTTTTAAAAAATTTTCTTATATATGTCTTTGTAAAACTTTGATTCCCCATCATGGCCCCGCCCTACCCCCGGGGGTCATGAATTGGACAATTTAGAATCTACACTATTCCAGGATGCTTCCACATAAGTTTCAGCTTTTCTGGGCCAGTGGTTCTTGAGAAGAAGATTTTTAAAGATTTTTCCTATATATTTGTATGTAAAACTTTGATTTCCCATTGTGGCCCCGCCCTATCCCCGGGGGTCATGATTTTTACAATTTAGAATCTACACTACCCCAGAATGCTTCCAAATAAGTTTCAGCTTTTCTTGCCTTGTGGTTCTTGAGAAGAAGATTTTTTAATGACCCCACCCTATTTTTGTCTTTTCTTAATTATCTCCCCTTGTGAGGGGACTTGGCCCTTTATTTTAACAATTTCAATTCCCCTGGTACAAATGTTTTGTACCAAGTTTGGTCAAAATTGGCCCAGTGGTTCTTAAGAAGAAGTCGAAAATGTGAAAAGTTTACAGACGGACGGACGGACGACCGACAAAATGTGATCAGAAAAGCTCACTTGAGCCTTCAGCTCAGGTGAGCTAAAAACAATATACGCTCCGGATCCATCAAACCGGGCGCATAAAAAGTTTTATCTGTTTAAATATTTCAAAAGTATAGGTCAGATACAGTACGTGAAGCATGTCCAGTAGTGTGCATCTCTATATACATAATTTTCATGCAAGCTTGTTTCGTCACCCTATGGCTTGTAAACAGTTATATCGTGATGGAATTGCTTCTCAAAATATAACCTTGTCATCAAGCAAAATGTACATTTTCCAGCATCCCTTGGGTGTTTGAAAGTGTGTATCCCTAGAAGCATCACCCATGCAGTTTCTTCGCTGTAGGACTAGAGTTACTTGGGAATGAACTTAACTGTTCTAAAAACTTTGACCTGGTCACTCATTCAGCAATTGTAGCTCATATTCAGCATCCGAAGTAAGTTCAGTATTGTGTATCCTTTTATGCATCATCAATTGAAATTGGTCATCAAAGGACTTAATTTTCAATGAGTCAAGTCATCTAGAAAATGTAGGCAATATCTTCATCTTACCATATTAACCCCTGTATGCCCAACAAAACTTAGGAATGAACATATACAAAAACATGTTCCTCCATTTGGTATGACATGACATAATCTTGTAAACATAACAACCTCATATCTCAGCATCTTTGCTAGCCAAGGGTGATGACTGATGAGTTGCTTTTGAATTGATTCTCACCCTTTCCAAGCAAAGGTGACATCTCTGCTTAAAATAAATCTTTCAACAAGCAAATTCAGAGAATTGTGGTCCCCAATTTTTGGATTCTTTGTGGGTGAGATGTCACCATTTATGGCATATTGTGTCAAATATGAACGCCATCACGTCATTCAAAATTTATTACCAAAGTTGATTTTGATGAAAACTGGGTCAAACATGAAGGTCAAGGGGGTCAGAAATCATACCATGCTCTGAAACATCTTGTCATAGGTAATGCAACTCAAAAATGAAAGCCCAATCTTTTCTCAATCAAAAGTTATAAAAAAAGAAGGTCAAATATCAAGGTTCAAGGTCACGGAGTCAAAAATCAGTGTATTTAGAAAGGGATTCTAAGAGGTGTATAATACACATTTCAAATGTGAAAGCCTCATCTCTTCTTATTCCAAAGTTATGATCAAGATTCAATTTTTTGAAAAGTAGGTCAAACTTCAAGGTCACGAAATCAAAAAATATAGTGTATGTAGAAAGGTCTTGTCACAGGTAATACTACTTGTCTATAAAGCTATCAGCATAATTTCTTAATACAATGTACAGTGGACCCTCAGATATCCGGATGCTTCAGTATCCGGACGATTTTTCCTCAGGACAAAATTTTTAAATGTTATAATGTCTTGTTTAACTGGTGATTCAGATATCTGGACATACTGACTAGGAACCAAAGCGTCCGGATAAATGAGGCTCCACTGTATATATCTTTGATAGGAAAGCCGAATTTCTTCTCATTAAAAAGTTATGGCTAATTTAAAGAAATGTTAATTTTTGATAAGGTCAAACTTCAAGGTCAAGGGGTAAAAAATCATAGTGTATTTAGAAAGGCTTTGTCAAAGGTAATACAAGTATAATATGAAAGTATTATCTCTTCTCATTTAATTATGACCAAGGTTAAATTTTTTGTGACAGAAGGACAGACGAATAGAATAATGTCCCCTCGCTCTCACAAAAGCAGGAGACAGAAAGTCAAAGGTCAAGGTCACATCAATTCATAAACACATCCTATATTATATAATATTCATGTAATTCAAACACTGCACATTGGAAATAACATGAAACTAAATTATAAAAGTGTTTAATAATTTATTCCTACATGTATTAAATTGCACTTCATAATATACAAGTTTAAAGATATTCACAAGCTATAATTAAACGGAAAAAAAGGTAAAAATATCAATTTTACACATTTCTAGCGATAAAGTGCTTTCATTTATTAAATACAGAATATCACTAAATTATTGAAATTTTTTCCAACTATCTTATTTTTGCAAGTGGAAAAATGCACACCTACTTGGCAATAATTTACAGAATAACAATGAATTGAATTCAGGAGGTCGGGTATATAATACTATACACTGTATATGCCTTACTGTCATACACTGTATACCATGAACATAAAATATGCACAAAATGATACTTTTTTTCCTAAATACATGATATGAAAAATTTGATGTTAATATCCCCTGCATTCTTCCTTTATACAGAGTTTATTCAGTTTTAACAATACCTAAATTTGGTATTGTGGATATAAACCCATACATGTTACTAGTAGTCAAGGTTCAAATCTTGCACAATCACAATGAACTTGTAATTTAAAGGCCTTAAGAAGGGGGCACTTAAGCTTCTTTCCTGAGAATACAAGCGAAAGGATTGCTGATCAAAGTCACGATGACATCTGATGGTGCCGTGGTTTAATTTGGAAGGTGTTCTGAAACAGTTTGTCTAAATTGACTTCTGAGTAAGCACTTCTTCTAATGGCTCTGGCCGCTATATCTTTAATTTGGGCATACTCTGCTCTACATAGACTCATTTTTGCTGAAGCAGCATCTGTAACATTAAAGGAAGACCTCCTAAGCTACTTATTCTGAAAAAAATTGCCTTTTTCCTTATCATGTGAGAATTATTGCATGTATGCATGTTAAATTTTATGAAAGGTCTTTGGAACCCAGCATTTATCATCTGATAAAGCATATACAAACAATATCATACATGGGACCATGCCAAACTTCACCTGAAAAATTAATCTAGAATGAAAGAATTTTTTGGAGAATTTTTCTTTCTTTCCCATTTATCTATTCACAAATAATCCTTTCAAACAATTTTGTTAGAATTTGAATATTCTGTTTTGATAAATGAGCAGTTCAATCCCACATGCTATCACCATTTACTTACGTTTTTCTTTAGAACCTTCTGTTAGAGCCTTGAGAGCTCTATCGGCATCAAAAATATGTTCATAAAAGCACAGTTGCATGTACAGCATGGTGTCTGTGTACTATAACAGAAATAATGTTATTGTTAATAAATATTTATAAATTGATAAGAAATAAAAATGCAAATTTAATGCCCTCTAAATTGTTACAGTGTAGTATCTGTTTCCTTTTAGATCTTTCATGCAGTATTCAATTGTTAAATCAAGGGAACATAAAGTTCTTGAATTTAATACTTGTTTATTCTACAAACTTTCAACAGGGAACTCAGAATGTATTACCAGTGGATGCATCAGTCCTCTGTGACACACATAGCACACAGGATGCCCTCGCTGAAAAGTCAAGGGGACTCTCCTGGTCACAGTTCCACAGGCAGCATCCTCACACTTCAGCCAGCCCTGTTCATGCAGAAAAAATTAAAACTCTTAATCTTTTCAAAAGGGTCCATTATTATCATACTGCAAAGTGCATCAATTCTTACCTGATAGTACTTTTGAATGTGTCTCCTTATGTCCATTTGAAGTCTATTACAGATGTATGGGATGTGTTTCCTCAAATCAGTTTTACATTCATTATTTGGACATATGCTGATTGAACATTCTGTGAACTCCTCCTTCAAATGAAATTGTTTAACAATTAGTAGAATTTATCAAGGAATAATTTAGGATCTTTTAAAGTAAGGAATAATGTTAATTAGTACAGGAGGATTCAAGACTGTAGGTCTCCCTTTGTGGCCCAACCTCTGTTCAGGGTTCATTCTCTGAAAAAATGTTCAGAGCAGATGTTTAAATCAATGATCCTTAATAACTGTTTCTTTATTTCCTCCACTTGAAAAGGAGGTACAGTGTACGGACCTTTGTTTAATTTGAATCCTGAACACCCAAAGCTACGTTTTGCGACATTTCTTGGATAGGCCCACTGATTCTGTAGATGTTGAAAAAGACTACCATGATAACAACCCACCATCTGTGTATTTTGGGTAGCCTAAAACTCTTCATTTTAATGACTATTTTAACTTTTAAAGTAGAAAAAAAAATTCCCTGCATTTCTGAATAATACTCACAGCTCCTTGAAAGACAGAATCCACAATGATTTCTCTTTTACAGGTAAGCCCTGGACAGGTAAACTTAAACCTCTCACAGTTCCTGTATTTCTCTTCATCAGAAATCTCAGCTCCATTCAGTAAGGCTTCTTCCTCATCATCATAATGATGGACAGTATGTTTGTAACCTGAGGGGTCCAGACCTAGAACCAAAAAGAAGGAAATAAAATTTCATACAAAATGTGAAGAGAAGGGCAACAACTCCTAATTATTTTTAGCAATTTTCTCCAACAAAATGCAGTTATACTTCTTGGCATCAAATTAAGTTGTTGCTGATATAAATGTACTGTAGATCACTTAATTTTCGCGACACCTTATTTTCGCGAGATGGTCATCGACTCTTTATAAGCGAGACAAAATTTTCACGAATTGTGGTCATAGCTCTATATAATCTTAAGGAATTCTATTATACGTATGCGAGAATGAAATTTTCGCAAGCATACCGTCTCGCATAATTACGCGAAAATAAAGTTCTCGCGAATAAAAAGTGATTTACAGTACATATTATTTATATGCTTGTATTTGCTAGGAATTATTTTACTTCATTCAATGCATCCATTTTGCTGGTTTGTCTGTTAAGATCAACAATATACAGTGCTTGTAAAATGTCCTTGCTTTTCATAAACTGGATAAACCCATAGGGGCACAAATGGGCGAACTTACCTAGACATTCTGCTAAATGTGCTGCATCTGTTCCTTCTATAGGATCACATAATCTTGACACAACTGGGTGTACTTGCTGAGAGAGGTAGTATTTGATGTCTGAAAGAAATACGGCAAAGTGTTTATAAATTGAGTTGTCATTTGTATGATTTACCCCATCTTCACAGTAAACATTAGTTTCCTTTTTTTCTTTAAAGTCTTCGTCTGAAAACTTACCAACTGTCAGTGTGTCACTCTTTGCCAACTCTTCAGGGTGGTAGGCTCTCTGAGAGGCTGCCAAGGAAGACCCATCCTTAACAATAGAAACCTCACCATAAAATCATCATAATATGAAGTATACATCATACAGTCATACAATACATGTATATAATAAGATTGAAATTTACTTCTTCAGTGATATCAAGGACAAAACCATGAAAATTGAAAGTCTTGATTTGATATTCTCCCTGGATTTTACCTCACAAATAATGTAGGCCACAGTGTCCCCTGCCTTCATTTTCTTCCCTCCCTTGCTGTTGACTCGCAGGGCCACCTGTACGTGAGGCAGACTCTTCTTGTCCGGGTAATCCTCAGGATTCTTTGTCAGTTGCTAAAAATAACAGTCATATAGTAATAAAGTCTTGTATATTTTCTGAAAACAATCACTACTTTTCATTTATGGTACAATGTAGACTCATTGAAAAAATGCCTTTTATTCAGTTTTTATTTTATTTTTATTAGCTTGCATGCAGAGAAAATTTCTTTTTAAAGAGTTTTAGCATGGCAAAATCTAACATAATATACATGTAAGAGCAACAGGTTTTTCAACAATTCATTTTTCAACATGTGATTCATTTATCAAATTTGATAGTAACTAAAAATCACAGAAGCTCTAAATTCATATCAAAATCTGAGCATTTACAAGGTAAAATAATGTGTATCAGTCTTATAAACTTGCCAGGTACCTTGGTAATGTGGTACATTTCTATAGGTATTTGTCCATTCTTGACCTTCTCCCCAACTTCCATCAACTTAGCATGAATATTTTCCACAATGGTCTCCCTGGACTCTCCTGACAAAATCTGTTCCACTACAAAGCTGTAATATTATCTTTAATTTTCAATCAACATCTTTTGTAATGGCTTTTTCACCAATACATATAAATTGTTATTACAGAGCCTCAATTATGACATAACCATTTTATACATCCATCTACGAATATGGAAATAATGGAAATAAAACACGTGTATGAAGCTAAGGGAGAATTTTATGATGCTGTCTTATCGCATTGAAATAATGTGACACAATTAAATTTATGTGTGTGAGATATCCTTAAAACAAATTTTGATATATGATGCAATTAGGTAGGTTTGACCCACTTACTTTCCGGCCTCCTTGGCGAGGTCACTCCAGTCCCTGCGGACAATGTCCAGTCCCTTCAGCTCCTTGTGTTCGATGTACTTGCCGTCTGGACCTTTGACCACACTGAGGGCAGCATACTTCTTCTTCTTCAGTAATAGCATGGACTTGAACACTCCGTCAATGTCAATCTCTAACAGCCTGTACAACTTGTTCACCTCCGATTTCACCTGTTTAAAACCAAATACATTAAACTTTTATTTTACTTTCACTTTCTCCTATATTTTCTTTTTTGTATAACACAGTAAAATATGGTTATAGCGAACATGCTTACAAGGAATTGACACTTATAATCAAATGTGATTTTGAATCCCAGTGAAATGAAAAAAAAATTATAAACTTAACAGATATTATGAATTATGCTTATAACAAAGCAAAATTACCTGTCCCTGGTATTTCATTAAAAGTGCATTTACTGTACATTGTATAATAATGTGTTGGACAAACTTAAACCTTTGGTGCTGGAAGAGAAACCACTGACCTTGTTCCCTACTTTGTAGACCATGTCAAGGTCAGTACAGTTTGTGTTGATCATGATGGAATCTGTGTCACCATAAATTACCTCCAAGTTCATCTGGGAGAAAAGAAATATCAAATTGATATCTGTAGTATTTGAAATCAATTTAATTCTAAGGAATTCAAAGTCACAGACATAAAATAACGAAAAAAGTTTGTTAAAATAAAACAAATCAACTTACAGATTCTACCAAGTCTTTTGTTTTCATTAAAATCTATAAATTCAAAAAATTAATCTGTAATTGCTGCTCAGGGAACTTTTAAATGTTTTAAATATTTTTTTATCCTATAGACAATATAACTCAAGTTTTTAATATTCTTGTAATATTTTCTTTCTTTTAATAACAACTTTATTTAGTGATATATACGGACCTCTCTCCCCTTTGCTGTGATGAGTGCTGCCAGAGGTTTAGCAAAGAATCTGGAGTGACTGAATCCCAGACAACCATACATACTGTTAGCCGTCAGCTTCAGAGCCTTCTGTCTGATGTCATACTGAAATGTCAAGATGTTATAATGTCCTGAAGGAATGACATTGTTTGTAATTATAGTGGAATTTTGAAAACTATTCTAACTACCAGATAAGCCAAGGGGATAATATGCATTCTTAATGTTTCAGCATCCCAGTGCAGTGATCTTTTTTTTTGTTTCTCTATTAAAGATTAATATACCCCTATCAAGCATTAATTGTTTGTTGTGTATCTAAAAGAAACTCCCCATGCCTCATGTCAGTTGAACAATTACTAATTCAGTTACTCAAATTTTAGAAGAACCAACAAGAGGCCCATGGGCCACATCACTCACCTGAGCACTAAGGGTAGGAAAAAGTAGAAAATGGCTTTTTATTGTAAAGTTTAAATCCGAAAGTAGTCCCATGACCAATCATGAATTTGCTATTTTTGAGAAAATGATTTTTAAAGAATTTTCCTATATATATCTTTAAAAACTTTGGTCGGCCATTTTGGCCCCGCCCTACCCCCGGGGGTCATGATTTGAACAAACTTGAAACTACACTACCTGAGCATGCTTCCATATAAATATGATGAATTATGGCTTTGTCATTCTTGAGAAGAAGATTTATAAAGAATTTTCCTATATATTTCTATGTAAAACTTTAGTCAGCCATTTTGGCCCCGCCCTACCCCCGGGGGTCATGATTTGAACAAACTTGAAACTACACTACCTGAGCATGCTTCCATATAAATATGATGAATTATGGCTTTGTCATTCTTGAGAAGAAGATTTATAAAGAATTTTCCTATATATTTCTATGTAAAACTTTAGTCAGCCATTTTGGCCCCGCCCTACCCCCGGGGGTCATGATTTGAACAAACTTGAATCTACACTACCTGAGCATAATTCCATATATATATATACATGATGAATTATGGTTTTGACATTCTTGAGAAGAAGATTTTTAAAGAATTTTCCTTTATTTTTCTATGTAAAAATTTGGTCGGCCATTTTGGCTCCGCCCTACCCTCGAAGGTCATGATTTGAACAAACTTGAATCTACACTACCTGAGCATGCTTCCATATAAATATGATGAATTATGGCTTTGTCATTCTTGAGAAGAAGATTTTTAAAGAATTTTCCTATATATTTCTATGTAAAACTTTAGTCGGCCATTTTGGCCCCACCCTACCCCCGGGGGTAATGATTTGAACAAAGTTGAACCTACATTACCTGAAGATGTTTCCCCATAAGTTTCATCTTTCCTGGTACAGTGGTTCTTAAGATTTTTGAAATATGCCACCAAATTTTCATTAATTCCCAATTATCTCCCCTTGAATGAGGGCGTGGCCCTTAATTTGAACAAACTTGAATCCCCTTCACCCAAGGATACTTTGTGGCAAGTTTGGTTGAAATTGGTCCAGCGGTTCTTGAGAAGAAGTCGAAAATGTGAAAAGTTTACAGACAGATGGACAGACAGACAGACGGACGCCGGACAAAATGTGATCAGAAAAGCTCACTTGAGCTTTCAGCTCAGGTGAGCTAAAAACTACAGAACTCTCACAAGTTATGGAGCTTGCATATTGCATAATTCATATTCTTGATCACCCTGTGCCACTCTTTGATACCTGCATGTACTGGTCGTTTGAGATGTCTCCCTTCATCAGCTGTTTGACCTGTCGTCTACTCTCCACAAGTTTACGGATCTCTGTTGGCAGGATTCCCGGCTCTAGGTCCTTGTCTGGAAGCTCAATCAGCGGGTCCTCATCATCAGCTTTATCTTCCTGTATTTAAAATACAGTCATAATGTGGTAACTAAGAATACTTAGAAACTAATTTGTACTTATAAAGTATTACATTCTCAAATTTCTCCTCCCTTTCAAAAGTTTTTATCAATGTTAATCTTGAAGAGGATAGGACAACAATATATAGTGTACATGTACATGTATTTTTGTTCTCTCTTAAACATATATGACCTTTTAGCCAAAGGAACGAGCAAGTTCTATAAGAAAGTTTTATATTTTGTTCAAAAACTCTAAACACTCTCTCTTTTGAGTGTAAAATTTAAGGTAGTCATATGCAGCTACGTACTGCTAATATCAGTAGGTTTTATGACTGTTTGCTAGACATACATGTACCTGTTGTACAGCTGTTCTGCTGACTGTGGTAAAACAGATATTATACTCCTGTATAATGGAGGGGTACAGACTGTTAAAGTCCAGCAGTAAGATGTACTTGTCATAGAAACCTGAATCAGAAAAAGAAACTGTTATTCAGTTTTAAAACAAAACCAGGAAATTCACTTTTGTTTCTCATTTTTCTTAAATCCTATATGCCAAATTTGGCTGAAAATAGTTCAGATAAGAGAATGAAAATATATGAAAGTTGATGACCAACAGTGAATCAGAACAGATAGTAATATCTAAGGTGACCTTATAAAATATGATTACACCATCTTAAAACAAATGTTAGGGAGAGGGCCTGCTTTGCCTGCTGCCAATTCCCATTCACTTTTATTTTACCTTTCTTTGGCTCCAAAACAAGACCCCCAGCATATGCAGGTTTACGACGCCGACTGGCTTTACCTCCCTTCCCAACATCCTCTGCTTCATCATCATCCAGCGTCTCTTTTTGCTGCCAAATCAATGTTTAAAACACTTATTAATCTAAGAGAAAATTTATATTAAGAGATTATGCTGATAGCTTAAATGTATAGACTAAATGCTCACCACGGTTACTTTTTTGTACTCTTTATCTGGGACAATGAAATTTTTTTCAGTAAAGGCATGTAGAAGCAGATATTCATTTCTTTCTGACCTTCCTCCTAAGAGAGTTCTTGTCTGAAACATGAAAACAAAATCATATCCGGTACAAATTTTTACTGTCCAACACATCAATGATATTCAACATGACTCAAAATAATGTAATTCCAATAGCTTACCATAACATTTCCACAGATGTTAGTTATTTGCAGTGCCAGAGGTAAAACATTCAATTCATAGAGAATCCGTAGAATATACGTGGAATCCATCAGAGTAAGTTCTAGCAGCTGCAGCAACTGATGTGATGACCTACAAACACATTTTTATCAATGAAAAGTTTAGTACTTATAAGACAATAATGAGCAAAAAGATTGCTGATGAAATCCCTTTAAATACGTGTACTTTGTTGGACTTACATATACATATTGTGAATTTGATCATAATCCAGTTCTAGTCTCTTTGCCTTCAGTATGACATTGGCCAGTTCTGTGAGATCATAACTACGAGATCTAATCAGCTCCTTGGCTGAGAGTTTAATGTCACACACCAGTCGACCACATGCTGCAGTTTTATCTGCAAAACCTCTGTGTCCAGCACCCTGAAATAGAATGTAAATGTAAAAAGTAAAATCAGAATTTTACAGATCTGAAGCCTGAAACAAACCTCTTTGCATGGCTGTGCGTGCAAAATTAGAAATGTTGAAAGAATTGGATCTAATGCTGTTTTTAGATGTGGAACTTTCTTTTACATACTTTTATTCTAAGGAATGCAAAGACTGTGGTCCAAAATACTTGTAATGACCATCCTCCAACATGCTCAAAATATGAAGAGCATTGATGAATTTATTTGAAACATTTTGATTTTAACAAGTTTACTTTGCACATACATTTTCCTTTAAAATCAGGTTTAAAATAGTGTAATTTTCTACATCTTACAGATAATTTTGGCATCTTTGTCCTTTTTAGTCTCCCAATCTTTGACCAGTGAGGCACTTTGTTGGCATTTATTCTGTGAAGGATAAGATCCAAGTCAAATCCAAAGATATCATGTCCCTACAAAAAAAGCAACATTTCAATGTAAACTGAGCAGGAATGACCAATATCAAAGCATTTTTTTTTTTAATTCAATGTTTATTGTTTAAAAAAAAAAATGCTTTTAGATAAATATTTTGCCATTCACATTGAATGGGACATATTTCTATCCCTTTAATTTTAAAATATTCTGTTTCTTAAAACAAATGTCTGCATATAAGTTTTATTGCTTAAAGGAGGCAGAAACCTACTACAATGACATCTGGGTCTACTTTGTGAATCTTGGCCAGAATGAATCCCATTAAAGCCCGCTCAGTCGGCAGCATTTCTACTCTCAACTTTTTGCCCTGTAATGACAATTTCCTTGAAAATTCAGCACACCAAGGTTCTAAGGAATGTCATTTTTCTACATTTACAACATAAGCTACAGGTATAATACCTCTTTTTGAAGCTTTTCTCGGAAATCAAACGGAAAGAGACTATCACTTGGCTTTGTTAGACCTAAAAGACAGGAAATGAAGTCTTATTTTAAGCTTATCTAGTATCTAACATGTATACAAATTAGAGGTATAATAAATCATGTCATAATCAAGAGGCATAAAACATCTTACCACAAAAGTGTTGTTGGAATGGAGTTTTTGGAGCAGGTTTATCAATGTTAAATGTTTCCTGAATGAGACATGTAGCTGCCACAATCTGAAGATCAAATTTAAAGAATTGTTTCAAGTTCTGTTCACTTTTCAAAACTAGAAAGTAAGCTGTTAATATATGAACTTGGACTTACTTCATTTTGATGAGTTTTGTGATTGGGGAGGGTTCTGAGGTTCAGCGTCATGACAACCAGAGGGGGCGGGGTCAGGTTTTGATCATTTATCACAGACAGGTACTCCGGTCTCCCAATACTGACCTGTAAATAGTAACAACTTCTCATGGAAAATGTAACATGTATGTGCAGCAAATTTTTCATTGAAATAATGTTTGAAGCTGTACAGGGAAAACGTTTGCCGATTGTTGATGTAATTTATCATTAAAAAAAATTACCTCCATTTTGCACCAACTGACTGGGGGATTAACCAGCTCTAAAAAAAAACAATCAATATGTTAGTGGTGTTCCAATCATTGATAATAATAGAAAATCAGTAGACTGCCCTCAGACCTCTCACCGAGATTGCTTTCCTGCTATTCCAAATATATTTCCTTCTATTGAAAATCTTATTGAAAACACTGTAATTATTTCATTTTACAAGGGTAATACTAGTAGTTTTTAAGCGAATATCCCAACCACCACTTAATCTATTAACTTATTTGTGTATCGTTATGTACAATTTAATGAACTATGTTTCTATCTCCATTTCCTAAGCATTTCTCTGCTGATAACACTTTTCATACATCAAACTAACTTACGTGGTAACTTCAGATCTAACCATCCAGGTCCTCTCATTTTCGAATCAATCAGTAAAAGCTCCAAGCTGAAATTCAAAATAAAATACACTTATTTCAGCATCACACATATTGAATGCAAGCATGAATTCCCTTGAGATATGGTTCTTTAATCTATAACAATACTTGTTCTTCATAATTTGTCTTACCATGATGTGTGGGTGCCAAATACATTGCTAAATGTCTCTCCTTCAATATCACTGGGTAGGGGAGGTATGTCTGCCTGTATCAGATAGTCAGAAGAATATTTGTTAATGTGCATCTCTATTTAAATCAAAAGAAAAATAGGTTCGCACATGTAAAAATTAAATATTCCATTTAACATTTTAAAATTTACCCCATATCTGATCTCTAGGTAATCAGACTCCACTGGAACCTCAGCCTTCTCAAATGCATACTGCTTAGTTACTTTCTGCAAGAAGAGTTTTCAAATAATAATGCACAAAGATAATGAAGTCAGATACATTTACCAAAAGTATGTGGTATTTGCTACTATGATAGAAGTCGATAATTTTCATCCATACTTTCCATTTACTATACAAAGACATCCATAAAAGGTTATTGTCTCTATGCAGAAACAATAGTTACATCACTTTAAAGTAAATATTTAAGTCTGCATATTTGCAAAAAACATGTACGTACACTTTAACCACAATTATTTGTTAATATGATGGAGAAAATTATATCAATTTTACATTAGTGATAGATAACTAACATCTTTGGCTCTTCATTTTTGGGGAATATTATACATGTATTGTCTCTCACCCTGGATTTGAACTTTGGTATTTTATATTTTTCTACAATTTTCTCTGTGAATTCTGTGTAAACATCCACCATAGTGACATCTATTCCTGTGTCATTTCCTGTCTTTGTATTTTTCCTCTGAAAGAAAGCACTGAATAAACTCAAACATCTCTTATGCCCTCCATCCCCCCAAAACAAATCAGCTGTCCACCTTCATTTGATTATGTAGCTTAAGATGAAAAACTGAGTGTGCCCTTAAGAAAGTTTCATGTTAAACTTAAAATAATATAAGATTCCACACAAGTTCTCCTTTTTCAAATTGTGAAATCAAGCACTTAAGAGGGAGCTTTCATCATACCTAGACCATGTCTGGTTTACTATATTACTATACTAAATCTACTTCTGGTAGGAAAAAAGAATACTGTAAAAGAACTTACCGTAGCCCTCGGAAGAACATACATTCTTCTCTCAATATTCTTCACCGTCACACAACAACTCACATACACCTTGGCTTTTTCTATCCAAACCTTCCCAAACAAGAAAACTGTCCCTATGATAGTAAAATGAATCCTTCAGAATCTCAGCTACATGTTTGTTAAACAGAAAACATTGAATTCTTTGTGGTTTTGAACTTTTCTGACATAAATTAATAAAAGGTCCTAATAAATACCTGGAGTGTTATATGGGTCTTCATAGGCATCCAGCCAATAAAATCGCAGGACTTGTTCACCACTTGAGGAGGTGACCAATGGTAGCTCTGAAGTGTCAACTTTGACCTCGGCCAGAGATTCCTCCTGGGAATCAGTCTGAAAATTCTCCCACCCAGTTGACAAAGTTTCAGAAGGACTAGAGAACACAATGAAATGCTATTAAATACATGCATAACATCACAGAGGCTAGATTTCTATGTATGAAACTTTAATAGAGCATCTTTTTATAACCAAAGTCAGACTCACATTGACATTATTTCTTCTTTAGGTTTTACAGATGTCATAGCTGTGTCCTCTTTCTTGATGCCAAGTTCTTCATCAAAGTCGACATCATTTAAATCCATCATAGCAGCAGCATCTATTGAAAATATTTTTATGTTATACAACAACTCTTCCACATGCTTAAACCTAAACTATTAATTCCAATTCTGGCAGTCACTAAACCATTAATTCCCATTCTGGCAGTCACTATAAAAAAGTTAAACAATATTGAGCATCATTATTACCTTGGCCCTCAGAGGATTCTTGAATGTCAATGTCATTTTCTGTTTTTAGAGCTGATTCTACCCCTAATTCCATCCCATCTATTTCATCAAAATTTTCCTCTGGGTCCGGAATGTTGGGTTTGGGGAGGGACCTTGGTTCAGTTTTGATTGGGACAGTTCTGGGTTCTGTCTTAATGATGGGTTTCTTTCTGACAGCCTGCACTGGAGGAGACTGTACATTGGTGTTAAATGGATTCAAAGGTGACCTACAATTTAAACAGGAATTACATATATTGTAAATGTATACAAGACATTTTTATCTCATTTACACATGGACAAGTAATTTCCAAACAATTTCTCTGGATATATCTTAAAGGATAACAACAAATTTTCTTAAAACTGACTTGCTAGCACCAAAGCCTTTCTTTTTCAATTTGATGGGTAGAGGTTTCATCATCCCCTCTGAGGGCCCCTGGTGAAGCTCCTCCATGAGGTCCCCCAATAAATCATCATTAGCCAATGATACATCTTTCTGAAAATACAAGGAATTCCAGTCATTAATATTGTTCATTCACAAAAGACTACCTTTATGAAACATGCTCTTATAGAGTTTATTGACAGATTTAGCTAGATTGTTTGTTGTTCAAAGTAAATGTTCTTAATTTAAAGTCTAAAATACATCTTGAAATTTTTTTTTTTGCTGTATACCTCTGATTTGAGCTTGGATCCTCCTGTTGATGACTGAGCAGCAAACATAGACTTGATAGTTGTTTTAGGTTTGGTTCCTGGTTTCACAATGTTAGGATTTTTGCTTTTCTTTTTCTCCTCTTTCTCTGTCATTACAAACAAACAATATTTACAAGGTTGATCACAATTTAGAATTTTATTCATCACTGGAGAAACCAAGAATTTGCAGAACTACATACACATGCCTTAAAAGCAATTTTATGAAGTAAGAGTAAAATCACCCAAAGGTATATTTTCCTAAACTTGAATGATTTTTCAAATGGACAGGATGATAGTTACAAATAGAAAGAGTAGATAACTCTTGACTTACTTCCTTTTCTGGCTGCCGGATCTTCATTGAGGTCGTCATCAAAGATTTCCCGACCATCCTCCACATACCCAGCTCCATCTACCAAGAAATATTATAATGCAAAGATTTATTTTTATGACTCACACAAAAAACAAAATTTTACTTATACATACAAATATATCATTCTTAAGAGGACTATCCAAGTTTTTGGAACTTGTGTCCAATCCACTTGACATTTTGTCAATAAAATATGTTCAAACAAACAAAACAGGAATGTGCAAAGACTTAAAATATATATATGCAGAAAATGTTTTAACTTCCAAACATTTACTGAAATAGCCTTTTGTAGCACTTGAAAAACCACAATATAATCATATGCTTGCCAAAGTAATTTACCTACCACTTTTTGTTCAAATAACAAGTAGTTGGGAAATGGTGAACAAAACATTAACAGTTACCTTTATTTTTAGTGACCAAGTCTTCACTGATATTCAGAAAATAGTACTTTTAAAAGACACTAAGATGAAACAATTTACAGTGAAATATATACCACTTTTAAGTGTCAGGGACAATTTTACTACTTTGTACAATTTATTTGTTAAGTTTATCTTTTATTTTCAAGAAAAGAAAAACCCAGAGAATAAAATCACTTTGCTGTAAGCAGAATTCATTTCAAGCATGTTTGCTAAAAGTATGTATCTCTGTATATGCTCCAGGTTTCTAGCAATATTGCTCAGCTTATCAAAACTCAAGAAAAGACAACTCTCACCATCATCTACGATCCAATCATCGTCTTGACGCTGGCGGACAATCTCGGAGTATTCATCTTCATCAACGACATCATACACATTCTTCTCTTCTTCTACCTAAATATGTGTACAAGGATTTTTAACTTTTTCTTTAGAAAAAGGAAGTTATGCACAAGTCAATGATCATAATGACCTGCTTGAGAAATATTCTATCCTTTTTTTTGGAGATTGATCCCAACCTGTTTATGAATCAATTCTTTAGGAGCAAGACTGATGACTCAGGGATCACTTTGGGCTGCGCCTTTGCGCCATTGGCGCTCAATATTTGTAAATGGCGCACTAAAAAAATAGAGAGGTTCAAAACAAACAAAACAGATATGGCGCTATAAGACTTAAAATATATATATGCAGAAAATTTTTAACTTCGTTTTCAAGCTGACCGATTGTATTCATGAAATAGCCTTGTTACTTTAATCAGCACTTTTGTAGCCGCGTATGTTCTTTACACCAGCAATATAATCATATGCTTGCCAAAATAATTGTACATAGAATATTTTTGTTTAGATTAACTAGAATTTTTTTACCGAAATGGTGAAGTCAATTATATTTATATTAAAATTATATGTAATGATTTCAATAATTAACACTTGAAAGTAATACTCCACTATGTAATATGTTCTAATATTTCTTAAAACTTTGATTATTTATTTCGAAACAAAACAAGTACAAGTTACTCATTGTGTATATACCAGACACTTTTAATGCCTCCAAAGCGAAGATTTATTGGGCCAACTACTTTGTACGAAATCTTTAGTTTGTTTTACAAATAAAACGACGGAAACTTTTTCATTCCCAGACTCGGCAGAGGTCTCTGATTAAGAAGAACAGTCCAAGACGTTCACTCCTGATGTCAACGGCAACGATGTTCGTCATTTCAAGCAAGTGGCTAAAGGCATATATTTCCGTACTAAAATGTTTTCCAAACAAATAAAAAGTTTCTCATTTAAGTTTTTTGCTCCGAGTTCTTTGCATACAAAACCAGTCCCTACCATTTGAACCAAATTTAATCTGCTGCCCCAGGTCTATTCAGTAGAGAAATGTGCATGTAAGTCATCCTTTATAGTTTAGCTCTTCAACAACTTTCGGAACTAAATCAATAAAATCAAAGGGGCGAGGAATTAACTTAGGTATTCTGTTTATCAATTTTTTAATACTCTATTGTATGACATTCAATTCTCTTGACATTTTACAGTACCTTTAAAGAAAAAAACTTTCTTTTATATTTATAATATTATTCATTTTATTTTAAAAAACTGAAATTGGTTGTGTCAGAAATGGCATTTAAAAACCCTGATCAAATTTACTTGAAATTGATCATATATTAGCATATATATCCTGTTTACCGGGGCGTGGAGATTGATCCCCCCCTGTTTTAATGTTGATGGGCCATTGGCCCATCAACATTAAAATCCAGAGTGATCCCTGATGACTAATCCTTTTGAAAAGTATCAAAGCTATGATCCATAGGTATATAATAATCAATCTGTAAAAAAAGTCATTCTTAAGAAACAATTTTTAAACAACTACACAACGATCACATACGTCATATTTGTGTTTCTCTCCACTTTGTTTGGTTTTCTTGAATCTTTCGAGAGCTGCAAATCTTCCTCCTTTATCTTTCTTTTCTCTGCGAGATCGAGACTTTGCTAATCCTTGTTCCACTAAAAAACAAAATTCATTACCTTTTGGATGTATTTTTGTACTTGAACATGCGATATACTTACGATGTCGATCGTTTGTTCGTGTTCAAGAGATCTTTCGATCTCACCCAAAACATGGAAATAACTATATTTTCTATCCTCCAAAAAGAGTTGTTGTGTATTTCATATGAAACACTTTTCATTCTTCTTTTATTCAAATTTTGATCGGGGCCAATATGAAGAACAAACCTGCTGTATCGTCTTGATCATCTGCTGGTTCGTTCTTCTCTGGTGCTGGCGCCATTTTTTGTAAATATGGCGCGAACCACGAGATGGCGCTTTCAAAAACAAGTCGATCACAAAACTATTCGTTCATAATTTGTAATCTGTCGTACTTATGTAGATTTGTAGCTATATAACCACAAAATTCTTTTCTTAAATAAGTGAGCATCTTTGTTTTGGAAAAAAAGGGTAAAAATTCTTTTTATACGTGGTAGAATGCATATTGAAAATATTTTTCACAATATCAGTTAAATTTTTTTTCCATACCAAATGATCCCTTTATCAGCTGGTTATTGCAATTAAATAAAATTTTGATTGTGTTTTGTTGCACATAACCTAGATATGTCAAATAATTCTGACTCAAGGTCATATTTCAATGTCAATCAAATAAGGTTGTTAGGAATCAACTGTCAATATACTTTTTTTTTTTAAAAACTTTCACCCATGCTTTGAAAAACAATCCCATATCAAATTACAAAATATTGAATATCATAAAAAATTGAGATATTTGACCTTCCATGTGGAACACCATTGAACCTATACAGAAAAGAAGTGGGGGAAAAAAATCACATTTAACTATGGATAATTGTGTAAATAAAAACTGCATGTATATAATTACATGTATCTTGAACAGGAACAATTAAAAAAAAAATCTTTCTGCTGTTAGTCTTCAAAATATTTCTTAAATAAATGTTCCCTTTAATAATTTTTTTTAACAGTCCTGCATTTATTTCACTTACCTTCTTGCAACAAAAACAAGATAACACAAAATATTTTTAGCACTTTATATCATTCAAACAAAGAATACAAAACAAGAGGCCCACGGGCCTTATAGGTCACCTGAGTATTGTGTAACAACTTTCAAACAATTACCTTTGGTTTGTGTTTTAAACCAGAGGCCATGAAATTCCCAATTTTGAAAGAGGCACCATTGTTTATCATAATTTGTATAAACTTTGCACGCTTACTCATTTACTTTACCCAGAGGTATATCAGAGTAACAAAGAGAAAATGCACTTCCACTTTATAACCAGTTTTGCACCTCACTAAAAACTGGCCCTGGGGCCACATACCTGGTATTTCCAAATTTTGCAAATTTTATCATAAAATTGTTGATTAATACCAATGAATATTTTTTTCAGACTTATTTTGCTACTAAATATACATATATCATTAGCATAAAACCCAGGAGCAAAGGAAAAGATTTTCAAAGAATTAATTTATTTTCACTATATAATCAATAGAGCCCTGCCCTAACACCAGAACCCCTGACTCTGGGGCCATAAAATTCAAAAATTTGGAAGAGGCACTCTTGCTCATCATAACTATGTACTTAGTTTGTTTATTTAATACCCAGAAGCAGAGAAGACTTTCAGAGAATAAATTATGCATTTTCACTGTTTAATCAATAGAGCCCCTCCCTAGCCCTAGAACCCCTGACCCTGGGGCCATAAAATTCACAATTTTGGAAGAGGCACTCTTGCTCATCTTAACTATGTACTTACTTAGTCTATTTAATACCCAGAAGCAGAGAAGAAGATTTTCAAAGAATAAATGCATTTTCATTATATAATCAATAGCCTTACCCTAACACCAGAACCCCTGAATAAAATTCACAATTTTGGAAGAGGCACTGTTGTTATAATAACTATGATATTTTATTTAATATCAAGAAGCAGAGAAGATGATTTTTGAAGAATTAATGCATTTTCACTGCATAATCAATAGAGCCCTGCACGACGACAGACGAAAACGGATAGCAATAGGTCACCTGAGTTTACTCAGGTGACCTAATAAACAAATATTTCATTTTCCAAACAATGCTTCAATGCATTTCAATTACAATACATTAACATTATGCAACAAATAATAAATATGAACATGTGTTTGATATTTCTTTTTGAGGATTTCAAGATATATTGAAACACACTAATGTCACTCTCTATGTCTCGATCGGACTAATTTTAAGGAAGAAGCCAGAGGCAATAGAATTTTTAAAATAAATTATGTACCAGCACTTCTTAATGAATTTTCAGTTTACCTAGTAATTTTGTTTTAATTAGTTAAGGTAGATGATTTTAAATACAGATTTGACAGAGATCTAGAAGTATTGAGCATGAAAATATCTATAAGAACAAGCACTTTAGTTCAAATCAAGAATAGCCAATATTTCTTGCTTTTTTATCTGATGTATCTAAATTTAAATATATACATGTACATTCAAACATGTTCTTATCTAAATATCACTTTTCAATTTATAAAAAGAAAAAAAAGCTTTATAACAATAATAATAAAATAAAAAAAATCTTGTTCAAGTGATTACACTAAATATCACTCATTTTTGGATGAATATTCTTGTATATAAATTGGATGGATGTGCTTGGTTATACAACATTAAGATATTTAAATTGCAAAAAGAAATATATAAAGCAGTATCACACATGAAAATAAACAATGTAATCAGCTAGAAAACTAGTTTTTGCATGTTTTCATATTATGAAATAAAGCAGTAACAATTTTAGCATTAAATGCCTAAATAATGATGGATTTCTTGAAGAAGCACACGGAATGATTAGCAAAAAAGAATAAACTTTGAAATGACAATGAAAACATGTACATCTCAAATTTTCCTTATAGCACTCAAATACAATGTATTCTAATGCCAATTAGCAAACACACAATGAATTCAGAATCATCAAATCTTACAGAATTCCATTCATAAAATTAATTCACAAAAACAACACAAGCATCAACCAACAATAACATAACAGATCTGTCTTCCATCACAATCTTCCAGAAAATGGGGGAATGGGGTCAGTTGGTAATGGTAAAAAAATGTCAAGGTAAGTGAAACATTCCGGGTCCTTAATTCAGGCAAACAGATCCACATACTGACTGGCATTCCTTCTCACTGTGTCATTGAATTCTTGGATTTCTTTGTTCTTAATGTCAATGTATTCTTGGATAAAAGTCTCCAGACCTAAAATAATTGATAAAAGTTCCTTAATAAGAATAGCCAGTGGTTTAAAAGTATGGATGAATTAAACGTGAGTCTGGAGGGAGGGATTTGTAGTGAATAGGAGAACAATTTGTAATGTAGCCTTAAAATATACAATGAAAATTATGAAATACTGGGGACTTCATCTTGGCCATGCCGTAGAATTTTAAAATTTTCCCCATTCTGGGGGGCTGGCTTACTTGGATGCAGATCCTGTTTTTCTCCATCAAAACTGACAAACTGTGTTCCATTGTAGAACCACCCAGCTGGCAATGGATCCAAATGGTGCTGTTTCTGAGGAAGAAAATACAAAAATCCATAATATACACATATGAATAACTCTTCAAAGCAAATGAATATTTACAAGAAGATGCTGTAAATGAAACCTCTATATAAATGGTCACCAAATTAAAGTCATTTATAATCTAAATAGTTCAGTTGCTGAAAAGTATATTTATAAATGACCACAATATATTTTAACATGTTTATTATTCCCCTTGAAAGAATTTTTGCTGACCCCATTGTGAAAAAACAAATCCAGCTCTTACATGAATCTTTTTGATTTCCTCTTTTGTCAGGTCTTTCTTTGTTATCACTTTCTTCAGCTCTGGTTTCTGAAGTAAAATGAAATTGAAAAGTAGTCAACTTTATCCTTTTAATTTAGTAGATAGATTCAACGAATTTTTGGGTGTCTGGGACCTCAAGAACTTTTCAGTATCAATTTTACATACTCAAGTACTCTAAGAATACTTTCTGTTTAGAAAGTAACATATGAATCCTCTTTAAAAAATAGAAAATATTGATTTACTAATATCAAACTTTTCTTCCTTATGATGACAATTCAAATTTTCACTAAAATACTAGTACATATATTGGTTTCAATTGTCTCCCCTTCAGAAAAAAAATTCCTAGATCCACTCCTGATTTATAATCAGCTGACTTCAGATTTACCTGTCTTCCACAAGTCCTAAGCCAGTCTTTGATCTTGTTGACCTGTAACTTGGGTCCAGTGAAGACCAGGCAGTACTTATTATGAGAGAGGTGATGACCGTCACCATTGATGTTCGGCTTGTCTGTGTGTTTGGTCACTGCCAGGTGGTCAGATTTCACATTGTACTGAACATCCATCAACTCCTCTGAATCTATAAAAAAAAAAATACGAAAGATAGACATACATGTATCACTTACATGCAGAAGTGTTTAAGTGCTTAGTACACACAAGTTGATACCAAAGAAATCAAATATCACTGTGGAGATTGAATAGTTTAAAATGTTAATGCTGAGAATAATTTACCTGTAAAGGACACACATCCTTGCACCAAAAAGATGTTTCCTGAGAATGGATAATGGGTCAACTGGCTTTTCAGTCCTATAAAAATTACAGCAAATAGCAAATCAAGCAAAGTACTTGACTTTCTCTGAAAACTGTTTATAGAGGTACATGTACAAGCACTAATAATAACAACCACCCAATGATTAATTTATTTCAAAATTGAATTTATCTAAATTTGCAGAACAAAACATTTTTAAATATATAATCTTTTTATTACATTTCACAGTCAAACAGTCATATAATGTACTTTTTCAATCAAGATACATGTATGCACAATTAATTCTGATATCCAAACATTTAGTTGAGTTACCCCTGAGCTTGTTAATGAAGACATTCCTCACTAGAGGTTGTGAGAAGGTCAGCTCTGTGTCCTGCATGGTGAAGGAGAGAGGAGGAGTCTTGTACAGTCCCTGGGACCTATAATAAAACATACAAGGCTAATACAAACATAACATATTAAACCATTCCCATGCCAAAAAGGATAAACACACAAATAAATTAGTCATTATAGTAGGGTACATGTATACACATGTATATATTACAAAAAATAATCCCTATATCACACCTGTTGTGAATTTATAATGCACATGTAAATCATTACAAAATATATTGTAAATGAAGTATATTTGCATCAACTTTTATCCACAATTCTACAGTTTGAAATCCATCCATGAATAAACACTTTTGCAACAATTTTGAACAAGTATCTATGTATTCTTGTAATTGTTAAGGCCATGCAAAGTTAATTACTTGGTTCTCAGGCCTTTTTTCAAGAAATATGATGAGGGAGGGGGGCATTTTTTTTTCTTTTTTATTGCCCCCAAAACATGATGAGGCAGCTTTTTACATTGTACAAAACCTCAAAAAATGATGAGGGAGGTGATTTGGTGTTTATATTTCATTGATTTAGCAATAAAAAGGGTCAATGAGGCACCCTTGGAAGAGATGAGGGAGGGCCTGAGAACCAAGAAATTAATTTTTTTTGCCTAATGCACAGTTAAATAAAATACTTATAGTGAGAAATATTTCTCAGGAGGTCACAAAAGTTAACATTTATATACTTCTTTTAGGGCTTTGACCATAAATTAGCCAAGAGATGAGATGCAGCTTTATGTCCAGAAATTCTAACATTTTATAAAACTTAATTACCATCCTGGACAAAGCATTTCTCTTGCTCTCACTTTCTTGTTCTCCATAAAAGCTGTTTCGGACAAAATGGCATCCACATCCATACTCCTGAAAAAAAATATTTAGAAATAAAATATACATTAAGTGTACATATATAAACTGAAAGGTCAATGTTTTCAGACATATCTTAAATGCTTGTCATTTGAATAGAATGGTATCCCACCTTTTCACATTTCCCTTTTCGGCAAGGAAGAATGCCACATCAGGATTGACACTGCGTAACAAGGTCTGGATTTCTTCTAGACTAGAATTCTGTTACATTATAAAATAAATAGAATGATTAATAATATTTATTTTTGTATGTGATGACACATTGGATTTTTTGTCATGCATGCTACATGTATAAGACTAAATGAAAACTTTACAGTATGTATCTGGCTTCATCCATACTTGTAAAAAACAAATACATTTAGCAATTAGATGTTCATTAGTGTGACAAACCAAGACACAGTACCTGTTGTATGGAGGTAGCAGAGGTAATCAGAATGTTGTTGACAAAGCCTTGAGCACACTGGTTCAGTAGATTTGGGAATGTTATTCTAAAAATTACCCCCCAAAAATAAATAAAATAGTGGCAATTTATTCTTGACATTTTTCAATGTATTCCACTATTAAACAGGTTTCTGCAGTCCAATCTTACCTATGTTCCATGAATGAAATGAAGGGATCAATGCAAACTGTCACAGACCCTGAAAAGTACAAGGAGAACCAACTGTCATACACTTTGCCTGATTTAGGTTTACTCCTTTCTTTTAATGATAACTAAATCCCTTTTTTAACTAATTAGGTCATGAGATCTTTAGGTTTTTCCTCTCTTACCAATACGGACATGCTGCTGTACATCTGGATTGGGGTGATTCATAATGGCACATAACACATCTATTATATCTGTATACCTAGACAATGAAAAATACAATGTGTAAAACAAATATATTACAGATAATCAAGTAAACAATACAGTTCTAATTTTATTTATTCCCTACAAAAAAGAATTTTTGTGCAACAAAACACATGATATCCTAGCTTTCAATGTAGTTACAAACTTTTCAATAAAATTAAGGAAATGTCATGCCAAAATAGTAGTTTTCCTTCCTTAATTGCCTTAACATCTAAATGAATGTCTATGTGGCACTTCCTTTAACAGTGGGCATTTTTATACAAAATTATGAAATTGTCAGGGTTGATGTCAAACCTTCGAATGAAAAATAATGTTGACATTGTAAGAATACTGCAAAGACTGCAAGTAGAAAAATACATCTGTGTCTAAAGACACAACATTTGAAATAAGTATGTTGATTATCCTTTGATCTTATTGGTATAATAACTTGCCCTGGAGTGACAAGGAGAAGTCTGTTACTGGTCTCTGATGAACTGAGTCGACGTCTCATGGAATTCCACATTTTAGACAGTGTGTTCTGTAATTCACCATTGATTAGGGATTTTGTGTCCCCGGCTACTTGCTTCAATACTGTCCATCTGTTGTCAAAAAAAAAATTAAGAAAGAATTCAGTCTAGGTGTACTGACATGCATATGTAAATGAATTTACTAGCAAATGATCCCCTTCATACAATGAACACAGAGAAAAGGATTTCAAATGGAAAATTTACCTTTCTTGAATTTTATTAGATGCTATTAAAAGAACCCATAAAATATAGATTTATGCAGTACAAAGTTTTCTCTGACCTGATGTGACCTTCTGTGAGGTACAGCAATGTGTCACACAGCTGTTCTTTATGACTTCCTGGAATTCCCCCAATCACTGTCACAGTGATCTGTAAAATACAGTAAATCTTGTTTAATAAGAACAAAGATAAAGTGAATAAATGGATGAATATAGCAAAGTTTTCTACAAATTCTACTTGTTCCAAAAAATGCATCATTCATTCCGCCAAAAATGTAAATTAACTGAAATCAATGATAAATTATAAATCACACACCCCACTGAATGTTTCGTTGGTTACCCTGTCTTCATCTAGACTATATTCCACATCCTCAGCCTCCTGAAGCATGATGGGTAATGATGTAACAGGAAGTGAGGTCACATTACTAACACTAAAATGAGTCATGAATCTGGAAAAAAAATTGTATGTTTTTGACACCTGATATAAGAAGTATTTTATTTTCTCAAAGAATAATTCTAGTCCAGTCTACTTTTACAGAATACCTGTCAAGATTTGTGAATTTTCCTCTGATGTGATGGTAGGCTGTGGTTGGATGATGCTCGCTCTCAAATTCTAGCTGTAATTGCTTGGCACTACAATGAAATTAAAAACTTAATTGTTTACTTTTTCATGTGTTGCCAAGTAACTTTGAGCAATTAGCTCACAAAATGATACCCAAAACCCTAAACTGAGTATACAAGTAATTGCAAAGTCCAAGTTTGCTATAGGAAAACCCAATTTATCTGTCTGGTCAAACCATCAAAATAGAAAGTGCACAAAGTTACTATATGCAACAAGAAAATCTTATTTCTTAAATCCAGTCACTTAGAATTAGGAATAGTGGTATGAAATGGATAGGCCATATTAACATATTAGGCCACATTCATCACTATATAACCCCCCCCCCCAATTTTCAAGCAAAAAAAATCTCTTTAAATGTTCATACTTTTAGTACATACATTGGATGGAAGGATTCTGGGATGCTTTCTGTGGGGTCCACATGTGGCACAATGCCGTGTGACTTCCACTCAGGTAATACCTTTAATTGAAAGAAGTAAAAAAATCAGTCAGGAATTTTTCATATTTATTCACACAGCATAAAATATCACTTCACTTTTGGGTACTTTGTACATTTGTTTATAAATGGCATCTACAAAACTAGAATAAAAATTAAATTATTAAATAAAATATTTGTTTCCCCCTCACATCTTATTTATGATAAAAAGATCCTACCTCTTGGAAAAGAGTTAATTTGGCCTTAGACTTTGGGAACATTGAGATGTATATGATGTTTCTCTCTGACTGTAGGAATGCTGGGATACTGGTGGATGGCAAAACTTCCACCATAAGTACCGAAACAGCATCTGAAGATTCCTGTTTTTTTAAAAAAAAAAACATTTCATCAAAACATTCCACAAAACATTGAATTCAACTTTCCACAGAAAAATTCAGTTTTTATCAGGGTCTTGACAAAATATTTATATTTTGTGTCATCATTTTTTCCCATATCATGCTTATATAAAATTGTACCAGTATCAAAAGTGTTTTGATTACCAGTATGAAGAAATGATAATTAAATGTTTGCTTCATATAATCATAATTTGAAAGCATGTAGTCAATCAGCTGTACTTACTCCAACATACATCTGCATTGATTTAATGTTATCTTTATCCAGAAGCAAAATGTTGGCTCTCTGAAACACAAGGACTATGGCAGCCTCATAGGCAAACAGTTCCACTGCAACAATAAAAAAATGTCATCATCAAATGTTAAATTGTAAAATCCCTCTTCTACAACTTTTATCATAAAATACTGAACTAAATAAATTTTTTTATAAGCTCTGTAATTTTTTAAGCACTTCTTAATGACAAAGAACATTTATATGCATATACTTTTTATATAGATTTACAATACAGTAAAACAAACTTATAGTGAGGTGCCAGGGACCAACAATTTCTATTCGTAATAAATGTACAAGTTTACAATATTATTTTATTCCCAAGGGAAAGAAAAACACTTCGATGTAAGCTTAAATTCATTATAAATGTGTCTTACTATATAAATAAAAATGTTATTTTCTTATTTTTCATCAGTTTGACATGATTGTGTTCGACTGTACGTACCCTCCGTGACTGGCAGTGTGAGACTCTGATCTGTACAAACTCTAAATGTCTCCCCGGGACACAACAGGCGACCATACTGTGTAAGGTTATGTAGAAAACCAGAAGGCTCCACCTTACTAACAAGCTTTGAATTGGAAAAAAAGTTTATGGTTACACTTTATTTTAAATCTTTCTAAATTCATATTTTCATTAGACCTTTCTGAGAACTTCACAGAACCTAGAAGGACATTGAGAGGTACAAAATGGAAATTGTTGCATGAAAAGATTGAATTTTCAAGCTTCGTTTAGAGACTTTTTGAATTATATCATAAATCAAAAAGTTATTCTTCCTAGATGAGGATTGGAGTACCTTAATCTACTGTAAAATCACATATTCTCGTGGGGTCAAATTTTCATGGTTTGAGTAAAAACTCTTAGTTCGGGGGGATTTGAAATCGTAGATGAAGAATTGTTGAATTGTTATGTATGTAACATTTTATATTTCGTGGTGGACATGAATTCCTGGGTCTCTTCATACCTCAAAAACAACGCAAATTAATCTCCCACAAAAACTTGTGATTTCAAAGTGTTTCATATCCACCAAGAAATGTCTAGTCTTAATGAACCAATGCATATCTACATTAAATAGAGTTTTTCAGTACATATAGTCCCTATACTTACTGGCCAGCTCCTGTATCTCGGTATGATTGAAGTTAGAATTAAGCTCTCTCCATTAAGTTCTAGAGTCCCATCTACAAAGATTCCAAATATACAGTAATGTAAAGATTTGAGAAGGTAAAAAGTTTTTAAAAAAAAATACAGTGCAAATGTAAGGTGTTTGGATATATGCATGCACTACATTGTATGTACAAACAAATTGATTCAGGTTAGAATTTTTACCAAAGCTATCACTTCACTACCTGCTGATTGCATTATACCTTCCTTCTGCACAGAGATGACCGAGTCTTGGAAGACTTCGGAGAACACAAGAGAGCCCAGGGTTTTCCCCGGAATGAGTGTACTCGGTACATCATACAGACAAACACTGGTTGACTTCAACAAGAGGCTACGACTCCCCTCCTCCACTGGTAGGCTCCTGTAATAGTGAAATCAAAATTACTTACCAGGGTATATAGTGCAGCTAACATATCCAGTTCTCATAGTATGTGTATGGTTAACAATTTTATTCCACTGGATGTAATTTTAATAATTCATATCTTTTAGAAACTAATGTTGCAACATGCATCATTCATGTCCAGTTCCCTTAATCAAATTGATATTGTCGACATCGCAATGTATACAATGTTGATACGATATCGTGTATACATCGTCTACATCATTATTGTTTTTACATGACAACATTGTCGACGTCGACATCGCAATGTTGACAATGTTGATACGATATCGTGTTTACATCGTCTACATTGCTATTGTCTCTAGATGACGACAACGTTGACATAGCAATGTAAACAATGTTGATACGATATCGCCTTTACATCGTCTTCATTGTTATTGTTTCTACATGACGACATTGCTGACGTCGACATCGCAATGTTGACAACGTAGATACGATATCGCGTTTACATCGTCAACATTGTTATTATTTCTACATATTTACATTTCCCTGTATTTTCCTACTAAGCCAACTGTGAGATTAATTTGAAAACCATTTTCGTGTTTCCTCACACGTAGATATATACACGGAGAAACGTGCGTTAACATGACGTCACGTCACGTCACAATAAAACTGCTGCGACTTTAGTTAAAATGCAATGATATAGGGCAGCAAAGAATTCAACTATTGAATATATTTAAGTTGCTTTTAAACATGTAAAAAAGTAAATATAAGGATGTTTAGTGAGAGTTATTGATGTGTGAATCACAAAGACTCGCACATTGGCATATTTTTCATGAAGCACTAGCATTGCGTGAACGATGTAAACAAGATTTGGAAAAAAGCAATGTTGACACTATGTTGACTCGATATCGACCAACATTGCGATGTCGACGATGTGAACGATGCAAACAAGAAAAAAGAAGGGCAATGTAGACACGACGTCGACTCGATATCGACCAATATTACGATGTCGACGATGTGAACGATGTTAACAAGAAAAATAAGAAGGGCAATGTTGACATGATGTCGACTCGATATCGACCAACATTGATGTGAACGATGTGAACGATGTAAACAAGAAAAATAAGTAGGGCAATATAGACACGACGTCAACTCGATATCGACCAACAATGCGATGTCGATGATGTGAACGATATAAACATGAAAAAATAAGTAGGGCAATGTTGACACTATGTCGACTCGATATCGACCAACATTGCGATGTCAACGATGTGAACGATGTAAACAAGAAAAATAAGTAGGGCAATGTTGACAAGATGTCGACTCGATATCGACCAACATTGCGATGTCGACGATGTGAACGATGTAAACAAAAGAAAGGGGGAAGGCAATGTTAACAAGACAATATCATTATATTGTTAAGCAACGTAATATGTTGAGAGATAAACACAGGTATTATTGTAATATTGAATAGGTTAGGTGGTATTTTTATAGCGATGTCGACAATATCGAAAAAACATCGTGCACTGGACATACCTCACATGCATTTAAATATGTGTTTAAATATGGTCCCAAGAAAAAGATTGGAACAGATTTTAAATTACCTTCCATCCTGATCATATGCCTCCAATGTAAACACAATGTCTGATCTGAAAAAATTGATTATTACATTGTGAATCAAAAGTCTTATGGAATATAATAAGAGTATATATAGGACATATGTATTCTGTCTGTTATCATAGGAAATCAGATATATTAGTTAAATATTTTTCATATCAATCAGTAGTTATAATTTTTTCCCCTTAGATGTTACATACTAACTCAAAACACATACCTTCTTTGAATATATTTGCTAAGGACAGGGTAAGCCCTACACCCCTCACAAATCAGATCCACCACTTTGGCACGAGTCTACAATGAAAACATTTACTACCAAATGAACTCTATCACTTTATACTACAATATAGATATATATATATATAAGGGATGCTTATTCCTCCATGGCACCTGATCCCACTGATATTTATAGAGGTCTCCATTTGCTCTATCCCAATTTGTATTGTTTCAGTTGGCTTATGAGCTTGAATACTATTTGTCAACTCCATATTTCATAACGATACAACACAGTCGTATACAGTACTATGCATATTAAGGTGCAAAATATACCACATTTTACTGGTACTATATTAACTACATAAGCTTCGGTTCCAGATTACAGAAAAAGAAAACACTGTATCCTACCTTGTGTACACTGAGAGTCTTTGAATACTGTTTAATTCCCTCTAACACACTGTCAATCATTATGGAGTACATATCAACAAGCATCCTGTAAAAAAAAAATTAAAATATATTTTTCATTTCATATTTATATTATATTTCATATATAATTATATTACATTTTAAATTGTAAACTATTTATGGGGCATTCTCATAAGGCCCCTATTTATAAACCATTTTAATTTGTTATGTTTAGAGCAGTATTTCACCAATTAAAATCAATTAAGTCATTCACTTTCTAGGAACGACCAAAGCAGAGCTTATCAATGATCTTATTTACATGACTGCTTTATCCTTTACATGATTGAATTTTTTCATCAACATATTATTTTCAGTCTAACTGTCCATCCATCTGTCTGTAATACTTTCATTTCCATGCAATATCTTGAGACACTTTTGAGTTTTTGCAATGAAATTTTAGCAAAACAACTGTCTATGGCCTATTGAAGAGCTGTATTTATTTTGAGGTCAAAAGCTCATACATTCTGTGTGTGTGTAAAACTTTCATTTCCTGGTGATATCACAAGAGGATTTTGTGATTTTGCGGTGAAATTTTTTAAATCCCTAAAATGCCCCCTTATCCTGATCCCTGCATGCTCCTTTTTTCTCCCTTAAGCATGAGCATGGGACACAGATTCTCTGAATAAGCTTGTTTATCAATCAATTCTTTTTTAACAAAATAAACCTTGGAATTCACTTGGCCAATAAAAGATTCTGTACAGATTAGTATTTGCATACATGTTAGTATCAGCCTTTTCATTTACTGAAGAAAAGTTATACACTGTACACTCAAAAAGTCGCTTAAAAGCTTTAATCTGACCGAACTTCATTTATCCTGAAATTTCAAATCACTTCTTTCAAGCCCCTTGGGTTTTGGAAGTGTGCTGGAAGGATAATGCAGGATACCACTAATAAAGTCCTATTTCATTACAAAAACGCCATTAGATTGCTCTTCAAATAGAAAGGAGAAACATGCAGCAGGTTTGATTGCTTTACCAAACTAGAGCTATTAGCTATTCAATTTTCTAACTTCAAAAGAAGTACTGCAAACTACGAAAAATGGACTTAATTAATAGAATATTAAACATTAAATTTATATTGATTTGAGTTCTTTTAAATTGCTGATACATGTACATATATTTAGAGTATTTAGCAATATATATCCACTATCTTGGTGTATCATGTATGTTAATTTTTACTCATAAATGTTCATATCAAAGTCATCCACTTGTAAGTTTAATCTACATTATTCTTCCTCTGAAACCCTTCTTCCATAACAATAAATTGCATGACCAATATGATTTTATATGAAGCTAATTATCACCAAGGATGAAACCTAACAAATAAGCTAGAAAGTGTCTCCTTATTGCTACAATTACTTTCAGCAATACATCTCTTTATATTGACAAATGTTAAAGCCTTTGTGACACCAACAGATTCATATCCACAGTGAATGCTATCTCTTACAACCTTATATATGATGTGAAATCCAATTTATAACAGCAAGCCATTGGCAGTCACAGTTTAATGTGACACCAACAGATACTTCATATGCTGAACATGCAGGCAAGTAAATTATGATCAGACGATTAACTTCCGTTTATGGACCACCTATCTCTGTGGTGACATAATTTCTGCGAGTTTTGCTGTTTTTGACATGGGCGGTGACATACTTTTTATCCTGGTCTTCCTTGGCTGAGCTGACGTCTGCTGGACCATTGCCGTCTGCTGGGTTATTGCCGTCTGCTTTCTTTGGCAGTGTGGATTTAGCACCATGCTGGTTTTCCTCTGTAATGGACAAATTGACACTTAAATTCACAATAACAAATCAATAACTACTACAAGTTACTAAAGCTCACTTTGTATTGGACCTCCAAAAATTTCTAAGAAATCTGAATTTACATAAAATCAATACCCAGCACAAGACACTGGGGCTCTACAGTGTGTATTACAAAGTGGTTTTGCTGGTATAAAAAACATCCCTTATAATGGTAGATTAGATCAAAACTAGCAATAAAGATGCTGATCTGAAGTTTATGCCATTAGATTTTACAGACCTCTTTTATTTTTTGGTGCTATTACTCGTCAAATGTCAGTAATAAAACATCATTGTTACATCAATATGGAATTAAAATATCCACATTGCTGACACTATTGGTGGAAGATTATAAAGATGAATCCATTTCTAAAATCCTTTTTTTTTTTAAAGACATATTTTAGATGCAGATACTGTTATTTTATGGCTTTTAAATCATCTGTGAAGGAAATGCATTCTAGCAGTACTTGCTCAGGGCTGTGTTCAAAATCATAGCAGCTAGCATAGCTACTACCGTACTTAGGCTATACTCCAGAACTATTGAATGCTGTTTTACAGTTTATGAATTAGCAATTGTTATCTCCATGAGGCAGTTGGCTAGCAGCAGCTCAATGTAGAATCTGCTAAGTAGCTGCAACAATCATATATATTTATAAATTATAGTGTTTTTTTCGCATGTTGGAAATTTTACGAAAATGGGGTAGATTAGTGCAGTTTTTATTTTGTACAAGTTATTTTTTACGATTGAAGATCTTTTTTGTTTAAAATGGTAATGTTTTATGTCACATTATAGCTGACATAATTTCTGCGTGTTTCATATTTTGAATATTAAAGATGCATGGTTGCAAAAAATGCAAAAAAATAGATCAACGCAAAAAGACCTCGGATATACGGTATTTTTTGCTTATAAAGTGTGAGGAAAGCTACAGCATTCAAAACACCATAATACAGACAGGGGTCAAAAGGTTAAAGTATATGTGTTTCATTTTGACATCACGAACATTGAACGCCATGGAAGTGCAACGTCTTAAGCGAAATTCTAAAATCATGCTCACTTTGAACAGAAGCTGATGCAATGGCTCCTCCATTAATTGTTAAGTTAAATATCCGAAGAATAATGTAGAGATTTTTAAATATAAATCCTATATTTAGAGACAAAGCAAGGAGTTCAAAATGAAAAAGAAATAAGCATTGAATAATTATTATTTGCAAGATATAGTCTCATCATTTCACCAATGTGTGCAAACAGATTTTCATAACGCACGTTATTCAACACGCCGTTGCAGTTATGAGACTATATCTTGCAATGAATAATGATTTAAAATTAATGCTTAAACATTTACTGGTATTTACATTTTTTTAATATAGTGAATCAGCAAATACAAGGACACATACTGTAAATCACTTTTTATTCGTGGGAACTTTATTTTCGCGTAATTACGCGAGACAGTATGCTCGCGAAAATTTCATTCTCGCGTATAATAGAATTCCTTAAGATAATATTTAAGAAATAAACAACGTTATTCAGTGAACATGGCGTTATGAATAGCAATTGCTCTGCTGGCATATTCCATGATGCGCGCTAGCGCATCATGGAAAATATGCCAGCAGAGCTATTGCTATTCATAATGCCATGTTCACTGAATAATCGTTGTTTATTACTTATATTTGCATTCTTCGATTTTTTTTCAAGAATATCAGAGGAAATCCTGACTTACATAAGGACGCAGCTTCTTGTCTTCAGTGAAGAAAAACATACGGCTTTAAAATCAGTAAACCTGATTAATGCTCCTATTCTCTAATAAATCACAAACATATTTATAAAGTATTTCCCTCTCAAACACAGTTATCTGGATACAAGCAGCGCCGTCATCATATTTTTGTTTTGATGCAGTTGTGACGTCATCGATCAACGTTATGAAAACCCTCTGACAAAAATCAATAATTTAACACTATGATGAACCAGAAGTCTCTGTCGAGACTGAAGCTCTACTGGTTTGTACTTATAGCAAAGGAAGAGAAAAGTACTTAAGCAGTTGGAAATTGAAACTTTTCAACAGCAATAAATAGAATAATGATCCTTGATTAAGTCTCTTTATGTTCTTTGTGTAGTCTACTTGCATGCCACATTATATTATAACCAGACTAAAACTGTTATTTGGAGTAGCATTTTGAGAGTATTTAACAGAAATTTCTATTTTTAGTAACCACGGCAACACCGTTCATCGAAATCAAAAACCGATATACAGAATTATGTATCTTAGTGTAGCCTACTTGTGTGCCAAGTTATATTGAAATCAGACCAAAACTGTAGGAGGAGTAGCATTTTGAAAGAATTTCACAGAAATTTCTATTTTTAGTAACAGCGGCAAAACCGTTCATTGAAATCAAAAACCGATACACAGAATTATGTATCTTAGTGTAGTCTACTTGTGTGCCAAGTTATATTGAAATCAGACCAAAACTGTAGGAGGAGTAGCATTTTGAAAGAATTTCATAGAAATTTCTATTTTTAGTAACCACAGCAACACCGTTCATCGAAATCAAAAACCGATACACAGAATTATGTATCTTAGTGTAGTCTACTTGTGTGCCAAGTTATACTGAAATCAGACCAAAACTGTAGGAGGAGTAGCATTTTGAAAGAATTTCACAGAAATTTCTATTTTTAGTAACCGCGGCAACACCTTTCATCGAAATCAAAAACCGATACACAGAATTATGTATCTTAGTGTAGTCTACTTGTGTGCCAAGTTATATTGAAATCAGACCAAAACTGTAGGAGGAGTAGCATTTTGAAAAATTGTTTACAGACAGACAGACGGACAGACAGACAGACAGACAGACGGACGGACGACGGACGCATTACCATCGCATAAGCTCTTCTGGTCTCTGACCAGTAGAGCTAAAAATGAGAATGCTTTTATAATGATTATTACTCCAGAATGCTTTTCTATAATTTTTTTTTTTTAGTTTATCTATTTATTTATTTTTAAGAGCTGAAATCATTCTTCAAATAGACACACTAATTAAAGAAATTTTCTCTTTCTGAATGTTATTACCCAAGTGTGAAGAGTTATCGTTCTTTGTTCAAATATGCATGATACAAAAAATAAAAATATGGTAGTTCTCTACAATTTTAAAAAAGTTTTATTTTACAATTAAATGCATTCACCAAAATTGAATTTTTAAAGATATAAATCAGCAAATTTAAATATTCTGAATTTCCTTTTTTTTTAAAGAATATTATTAAAAACTTATTTTTATTCCTCTTGTAAAACATTTCATATATATACTTCTCAACACGTCAGGTAAGTGTAGTAGAGACTGTTCTACACGTGTGTGATAGAGCAATTGCACTCATACTAGAAGCAATTGCGTCTATAGTCCTATGAACGCAGTTGATGACTACTTGTTTATAGTGGAAGAGAGCAGTGGATATGCAAATATAGTGCAATGACCACAATTCATGAAAATTTTGTCTCGCTTATAAAAAGTCAATGACTATCTCGTGAAAATAAGGTGTTGCGAAAATTAAGTTATCTACAGTAAATTAAATGTTCACAATAGTTATTAATGAAATTTATTTCAAAAGTAGGATACAATTTTTTTTTGAAGTGCGTTTTTCACTGTGAGTCATGAAAACAAAAAATCCTGTTCCACTCATGAAGTAAATTCATATATAACTATAAAACAATGGAATTAAAATCAGACTTCTTAGATCCACACCATATTATATATACAGTGGAGCCTCATTTATCTGGACGCTTTGGTTCCTAGTCAATTTTTCCGGATATGTGAAGCGTCCAGATACCTGAATTACCAGGTTTACAAAACTATATATCGTCCGGACACCGAAGCATCCGGATATCTGGTGTCCGGGTATCTGAAGGTCCACTGTAGATACATTGTGCTCTTCGCAGAGTGTATATATAGCATGAATCTAAGATTACTCTAATCTTAATTAACCTGACTACAAAATAAATGTAATGAATTTTCTGTTTATAACTTTAATTTCTTTGATCTTGCCTATACCTCTTTGTAAGTCAGTGTCATAGGATGTGTTGTTTAAAATGAGTAGTTGTGGGATGTCATAGCAAAGTGTTTGTGAGATAATATAAATTTAATTTGACCCATACATTTGGAGGGGATAGATAAAATTGATCTGAGTAAATTTTTAAAATCATTTTAGCCATGTTTCTGTTGATATCATAACAAAAATTTTATAGCCAAACATCTTTAAAAAATTATGATTGAAGTCTCATAGGAAACGAACTTGTTTGAAATATCAGTTATATAATACAGTTCCCTGCATGTCAAATACATAACATTTACTCCAAAATACTATTACCCCATAAATTTCCCAAGAGTAAATGTTGTAATGTATAATTCAGTTTTCTTAATGCACTTTTGAAATATAAACTTTAAACAATCAGACGAAACAAATTTTGGCCATTAATGAAGCTGTTACAGCATCATAATTAATTCAGAGAACATTCAAATAAACTTCAAAGTCAAAATAAAACTCCCTTTCCATGCATACCCAAAATATCATTATATTGCCGAAGCTTTCGATGCCACAACGTTAAAAATACAAGTGTCTCTGATGAAAAACACTCTTGGTTTACTCCCTTTATATGCCTATTATTTAATTAAAAGCTGAGCTCTCTCATAACTGACTCATTCATATTCAATATTAGTCTCAGAGAATTGAGAGATTTAACGGTTCTTTGGGAAAAACCCTGATGCATTAGAAGAAAAATGAAGTTGTATCTCATTTACTCAGCCTTTTTAAGTGCATATAACACAATTAGTAGAATTCTGTCTCATCAACCGCATTCACATTCAATAACAGAGGAAGCAGATACGTTTCAGATCCTCAGAGTGACAGAAGTGTCCCCTTCTCATCAAACCCCCTGGGGTATTATTCCCTTCTGAGTATTTCATGTCTTGTGTCAGGCAAGCTTCAGATTGTCAAATCCACGGAGACCAGTCAAAGTCAGCCTGCGTCTGTTTCTGACGACAGGGTGACAATTAAATACAAGGACTGCAACGCATCATTCCGGCAAATTAAAGCCGAAAACCACGCTATGTAAACCCCAACCAACACTGATCTAAATTAAAAGAGAGGGAGAGAGAAAGAAAAATCTCCACAAGTTAAAAAGAAGATCGAATGCATGAAAGCCTGTTCTAAGAATTACAAGGTATTGATCTGAAGAGGTAGAGTGGAAAGATTGAAATCCGAACCATGAAGCATCAAAAAAGATGACAGATGAACACTGACTTGGGATTAGAATTCTGCAGCTTGTCATTCCATTTATGGAATTAATGAGATTTTTGTGGAAAATAAGCAGGTCTTAGACCCTGTATCATCTGAATTAACCTGGAAAACATTTATCAACTGACACAGCTGAAATACATTCTCACACAAACTCTGGATGATAATTAATTATACTTTGAAGCTGAGGAAAAAAATATTCTTTGAAAATTATACCTTTATCTTGGAGAAAACTGAAGCCCAGTTACAATTATCTGTCAGGATGGTCTTGCGTTTCAGACCCGCATTTGTATTCTAATAAGAATGTAAAAGGATTTCACGTCATTACAATCATAGGAAAATAGTGGAAATAAACGAAGCCTTAATGGATATTAACAACACATCTGCTTTACTCTTGTAAATGAATGCAAATTCAGTAATGTGAGGATGGAATTGATTCTGAAAAATAAAAACCTTCTTGGATTTAGACTTATGCAAATGTGCTGTGCGTAAATGTGCTTTAAAAACACCATTAATTCCCATTGTATTCTTGTTTGAATTTTCCTGGTATTTTGGAGATGTATTTTTTGGAGCCAGAATATCGTAATGAACCCCTTCTTTTGATACCCCCTCAGTTATGTCTCACAGTGCATTCTCTGTGTTTGGAGTACAAAGAGTCAGAACCATGGACCAGGGCCTATACCCTATGTGAAATTGCAAACTATGTGTGCTATGTACTGCTTCCTATGGTGCTTGTGCTAGGCATGCTCTGTCAACTTTTGAACTTGGTGACCTTAGTGAGACAAATTCGACTGTCCTTAGAGACCTATTTATTAGCCTTGAGTGTGGAGAGTACTCTATTGGTTATATGTGCTATCATTCTATGCCTACCACACTATATTGGGTATCTAAAAGTTCTAGTCCACATACAGTATTACACCCTGGTGTGTCGCGAGGCAGTGTGGTATGCCTTTGTGTGGACACTTATAGGAGTGGGGCTTCAACAGTGTGTTCAGTCATTCAAACATGCACCTTTCTACATCTGCATCATCTCATCCTTTGCCATCAGCAGTGCTCTCCCCTTGGTATGGCAATACAACCTGACAGAGGAAGTCATACAAGCCGATACAACAAACACATCTAACATTTCTGTGACTCTCATCAAAAATGTCCAAACCCTAGACAACAACACTCTTATCATGGCCTATTTCTGGTATACGTCGAGCATATCCATCTTCTTACCCACATTCCTATCAGGAATACTGTGCGTAGCATTAGTAATTCTCATGTACAGGAGAGGCAACACTTCTCAGACTTTCAACACTTCCTGCCGATCCAGCACAACTTTAATTTTTCACCGGAACCGTGTTGAGGAACGTGCCAAGACTAAGCTTGTTGTTCAGCTCCTTATCTTAATGGTTCTCATGATGTTTCCTCTGGGGGTCATAAACTTCCTGTGTCACTCCTTAATTGGCGTTCTTCAGGAAAGTACCAAGGTGACTGTATTCGGTAACATAGCAACCGTTTGGTTCCACATGTATCTGGTCTTAAATCAGCAGCTATATTTTTGTTACCACAAACAGTACCGCAATACCATGATTGGTATGTGGGAATGCTGCTGTTGATAAATAGAATGTCTAATTAAAATATTTAAGTTTGGCCTTAATCTATTAAATTTAATTTTTTTCCTCTTTCCATTTTCTGTAGGGAAATGGCCATCAGCTGTCAGGGGTTTTCATAAATGTAAGAATTATTTGATTCTTATGCTCTATTAATAGTAATATTATCATGAGGTTTTTGAGATGGTTATTTATTTATTCATATTGATAGTCAAAGAGGAGAGAACCTTTTAACTTAGGACATTTTTTTGTCTTAATTAGTACAAATATCCCTTATTTTTCTGTTATTTCCCAATCACGACAAGGAGCAAACAGCGGGTTTGACCTGTCGGTATGGGAAGCTCATTCCTCCATGGCACCTGATCCCACATCTGATGTTTTGGAGGTCTGTGTTTGCTCCGCTCCTATTTTCTAATGTTAATGGACTTTTGAGCTCCAATTCTGTTCCTTATCTCCAAACATTTCATGCATTTGTTCAGTGACTATGCTCAAACAAATCAAGTTTTAAGTTGTAAATTCGTCCTTCATGGATTTTACATAAAGAATTGGTTCAGTATTCATTTAGTTACAAATAATTGTCTTTTTTTTAAATTACACAATCAGAAATATTTTAGATGTTGTTACTTTTTTATTGTGATGACTGATGAAACAAAATGTTGTCGTTGTTCTATGTCTTAATTGCTGGAAGTCAACGAAATAAAGAGACACAAAAGTTGTTAAACTTATTTTTTTCTCTCATCATCACAGTATCAATATAGTTATTGGTTTGCTACCATACTTATCAATAACTGATAAACTAAATTTTAGGTTTTAAACCAAAGAAAATTTAATAAACAGAAAATTCAATATTTTGTATAGTAGTTAGATTATGAAAATTATTATATTTCCAATAGAAAATATTGTTATTCATAAGATAAAAGTGATATCCTGTCATAGTGTGAGAGAATGTCAAAAGTCCAGCAACACTCTTGATTTGCCTTCCCTTCACAAATAGTGTTGTTAAAAAATACTCCCTGGTCTGTTATAAGATAAAGTAAATATACCATCCTGATAGACACTGAAGCAGCCACAGTTTCTTCAAATATGCTATTGAAATCCATTATTTACTGGTATAATGTTTTCAATCTTACAATTTCTTAGCTATAACAACGTCTCAACCTTTGACTATGATGTCACAGCCTAGCTATGACACTGTGTTATGAAAAGATAGAGGCAGAGGGAATTCCTATGACTTATCCAAATGTCAAATACATGTATAGTATGAATTGAATGTGTGCAACTGTTCTTGAGATAATGAACGGAAAGTAAATGATGACAGAATGATAAAACAGTTCAACATTATTTGCCCCCGTAATTTTATGGCGGGGACATTAAAATGTAATAAACAGAAAATTCCATGTTTTTTAGTTGAATATGGAATTTATTTCAATGTACAACAGGACTTTATTTTTAATATCTTCATGAGTATATCCTCTCTATTTTTCACTCATGAGACTAGATTATTTTTTTTTTTATTTTCACTTGTGTGAAGCAGCACAAATGAATTAAAAAAAAAATAGTCTCACAATTAATTAAGTGAAATGAACTCAGTTTATATTCAACTTTAAAACTATGAATATCTTCAATATACATGTACTTTTTAGAATTTTTGATACATTTTGAATGCATTTTTAAATTGATTAGCAAAACCATTTTTTTTTTACCTTAATATAAATGTATCTAATTTGGCTACAACAATGAACATACTCTAAAGTAAGGGCAACAACTCCTACATATTTTTCCCTCTACAGTCAACTATTAAATGGAACAGCAAAATTTTTAATGCAAGAACTTTAAATTTGGTCATCCTTGAGTCTGAAATGACTTTCTTTTTCTTCCAAATTGAAATTGATCAAAAGTAAGAAAGAGCATTTTTTTTAGGAAGGAGGTTGTGATTCTTCTGTTTTACACCTCTATCATTTTCATTTGTAAACAACAATGCTCTTTAGTAATACCCACAAAACTTTGATGGAAATTGATACAGACAGACACATAGATAAACAGGAAGTTGACATCTGATTCGTACAAAGATGAATCCCACCATGTGACATGCCAAATCAAATAGTGTACTAAAATTTCAAGCATCTGCATTTACAGTATACAGCAGTAACTAATGCCCGAGAAAATTTGCTGTGGACAGATTGATGGATGCATGGACACACAGCTAGATATACAAGGGTAAAACTGTATAACCCCCTCTCTTTTTGCAAGCCATAAGCTTTACTTCTATTATGCATGCAATAACTCACTTATCCGATCATCCACACACTCACAAGTGCTTTACTATACCCCCCGACTTTATTGAGAAATAATAATGGCTGGATCACTAGCAACTATAGCAGACCCCTGGTAGAGGTTTAATAGTTAGATGTCAAGGATAAAGAACACATTTTTAAAGAAAAGATTGCACAGATTTTGATCCCACTGTTTAGGTCCCTGGGGACAGAAGTAAGAATTCACAGCTTTAGTCCCCCTTCAATTGATGTTCTATCCATACAATAATTCATTTTAGTATCAAGAGAATATGAAAGATGGATGACTATAGATAGGTTATAGATAGACAAGCAGAAGTACATATTAAGCATGTATGTTGCATAAGACTTTCAGTGCAGGCGATCAAATATCACTCAAAAAAATATATTAACTTACCGTTGTTAAAGAAATATGTTCTAGTGCAACAAAGTGGGCCTCTTGGAGATATCCCATGACACACCTGAAATATCAATACACATAAAATAAACCTTGCAAATTATCTAATATCATTACAGAGGCCATTTATAACCTTAAAACAGTCAATACACTTTTCCTTGCAAATATGTGCATATAAATTTTATTTACTGGAAAAAAAAATACCAGTTATTTTATAATTAAACACACTACTTTATCTTTAAATTTCATTAACAGAAAAGATTAAGTTGTGAATATAATTTAGTTCACTACTATAATCATGTGTATTAACAAAATTCAAAAGTTCAGTTCCATCAAATGACACGATGCAAATAGTTCAATTCAAAATAAAATCGAAATGTTTAATATACTTTGTAAATGTTCATGTTCAAAGTGAAATTATAATAAAAATATTTTTTAGACAAAAATGTTCCACACACCATAAACTTTGGAGGTCCATTGTTGACACCACATTGAGAGATTTCTGAATTAACTGTTGTTTTGCAGCGTCGGACATCATCTAGTACAATGCGTCGACTGTTTGTCCCACACAAAACAAAGGGCTGTCTCTGTCTTTCTCTGTAATTCATGAGCATTTTTTAAAAATCAAAGTCATTCTAAAATATGGGTGAAGTCACTTTAAGAAAAGAAATACATATAAGTAGAAAAGGCTCTTACATCACTTTTTGAAATGGAACAAAGGTTGTTAACATTAAAAATTTGGAACATTCCGGCAAAAACTGGCAAAATTAACATACATCTTCATTTTTTTTTTTAAAGCTTGCTTTATTTTTGATTTTCTGATGTTTTGTTATCACCCTTTTAGGCAGAAATGAATATTGGAAAATAATTGATACGGTTGCATAAAAGTCATATCATCATTGGAAACAAGGGCTAGCATTCAGTTTAAAGTCTGATTAAAAGCAATCAAAAGCCCTGGTAGAAATCACTCTCTTTTATAAAAAGGGATGAGATTTTGGCATTTAACACTCATGCTTACATGGTATTGGTTTCCTGGGATGCTACTTTTCCATGTTTAAAATAACTCCAAAGGGGCTAGAAATAAATTAAATTTGAAAATTAGCATTATCCATGATTTATAATACTTTTTTCTTTAGCATAACCTTGATTCTTTATATTTGACCAATTTATAGTTGTTTTTTTTTTTTCAAACAAGCAGAATTGACAAAAAATCAGCATTACTGATTACCATATGATTCAACAATAAATCTCTTTAAAGTGATTATGGTATAATTGTCAACTATACTGCCGATCACTTTTTTTTCATGAGTTATTTTTCATTTATGAGCAAAAGTGAGATGAAATTCTGATGAATTCTGATTTTGTTTTTATATAATATTTCATTATAAAAATAAACACAAGATTGAAATTTGTGCTTGCAGACATTTTACAAAATTACATAAAAATGTTCTCATGAATAGACAGCTGTTTTGTAAATTTCAGAAGTCAGGTCGTACATTTATACCCATGGCCCTGTGAAGGACCAATTTACAGCATTAACATTAGTACCTCGCACACTTTGTTCTCTGTAAGTCTGCCTATCCCAGTAGATCTGTAAAGATAACAATTCATAAACATTTATAACTATTGTAGAAATCATTTACATTATTGGGGTCGACGTTTTGTGGATTGCTTTAATTTAAAGACGTACAACACACTGGGGAGATAACTCTTGCGATTTCAATTGAACGTTTGACGTAACATCAAATTTAACATCAGAAATAAAGCGTCAAAACGACGAGTAAAACGATCCCGATGTATATCAATCATGAAAGAAAATTGGGATATGGGGCTTGGCTGTGATTGTGCGTACCATACTCAATTAATTAGTATTTTTTTATTTAACCCGATTAAACTCCGTAAAAAGCAAGACTTAAAATACCATCCCTTAATGTTTATTTCATTTCATTTCATATACAAAAAATTGTATTTTTGATCAAAGCGCAGCATTTTTTTTTATTCTTAAAATTTTATTTTGCCGAAATTCTCATTATTACAATTGGCTATATAACATTCCGATTAATGGTCTTCATTACAATTTGTGCATACACGATATAAATATTGTTTTTCTTCTTTAATTAAATAAAACAACAATAAATAAACAAAAAACTTGTTACAATGTAAAATCGATGTTGTTCTCAGACCCTTACTGATCAAAGAGGAACAACTCTGAAAATGTAGGAGATGTTTATTTTCCTCCCTTTATTCACGGTTTTCCACAGAATCCAAAGACCTGATAAATCCGAGAATTGAATACTATAGACCTCAAATGCACAATGTAAATATAGAATTGAAAAGAATTGTTTACTTGTTACTGAAATTATCTGCATTCATGAATATCCTATTGCAGCAAATCTTAACTTTGACTTTCTGTCAACAATGTCGGTTCGCATTTCCTCGAATCAAAACAAAACGTAGCCTGTAAGATTTTAGAGAATATCAATGTGCGATTTGATATAAATTGAAATAGATGAAGAGTTTAATTATTGATATTTTGATGTTCATGTGGACGAATACGGAATTTTCATTTTAACTTTAGAAGCGACGACATTGAAAGAAATGCGTACAATATCATGAGGGTGTATGTACATCTAATGCAAATGTCGATGTATCCCCACGGCCACATACTGTCTCGTTTGAAAAGATGACATGAAAGAAACTACAATTATTCCATTTATATCACAGGACAGGAGAGTTGAACATACACCATTTTTTTAATGTATAAAATTAAAGAAACAAAACTTGAATTCGTATCCAGGTTTCATGAGATACTAGGAATGCATAACGCATACGTATATGGACTAGACACTAAAATCTTTCAGTAATTTTTTCCTGATACATATAAAAAGAGTAGTCAATATTTATTCTGCATTCATGAATTTAAAAACTAATGCATACCTCCGGGATTCTTGACGAAATACCAGTATATTTGCACTGTAAACGACGTTTCGTCAAACGCTAAATGGTCTGCGACGCAAAAAAGGAAGGGGTGGGGGTGATAGGGGTATTCAAAAATTGCCTAAAAATCTACATTTAAATACGCTTTACATATGAGAACTTTTAAATTTGTAAGTTAATATATTTTTGAAGCAAAAGCAATATTCCAATTTAATTTTTTAAATGTGTATTTGTAGATTGATATAACAAAGTGATCGACCCCCGTCTGAAAGACGCGTGGGAACGTGTTTTATTGAGAAAGGGGGAGGGGGTAATTTTCCGCTATTGAATCAAAACTGGTCGTACAAAAATTATACAAAAAATTATTAAGATTATTTTTACTACCAGCTACCTAAAGAAAGTTTTTTACAAAAATTAAACGACAGGTTTTTTCACAAAAAAAATTTTGAATTTGAAAAAAACGCAATTTTCAAGACTTAGAAAATTCATAGTTTTTCAGTTTAAGGTCTTTAACCAGAAGTCTCTGTCGAGACTGTAGCTCTACTGGTTTGTACTTATAAGAAAGGATGAGAAAAGAGGCCATTGCCATCAGACCAAAACTGTAGAAGGAGTAGCGTTTTAAAGGAATTTCACAGAAAATTCTATTTTTAGTAACCATGGCAACACCGTTCATCGAAATAAAAAACCGATGCACTATTTTATGTATCTTAGTGTAGTCTACTTGCGTGCCAAGTAATATTGAAATCAGACCAAACTGTAGAAGGAGTAGCGTTTTAAAGGAATTTCACAGAAAATTCTATTTTTAGTAACCATGGCAACACCGTTCATAGAAATCAAAATCCAATGCACTATTTTATGTATCTTGTGTAGTCTACATGTGCATCAAGTTTTATTGAAATCAGATCAAAACTGTAGGAGGAGTAGCATTTTAAAGAAATTTCACAGAAAATTCTACTTTTAGTAACCATGGCAACATCGTTCATCGAAATCAAAAACCGATGCTCTATTTTATGTATCTTAGTTTAGTCTACTTGTGTGCCAAGTAATATTGAAATCAGACCAAAACTGTAGAAGGAGTAGCGTTTTAACACTTTACAACTTACAAAATTGTTATGCAAAATAAACTGAATCCTCACGTCATAGAAATATTACGTTACCATTTCCCCGCAAGCACTTTCTAGCAGGGTACAAGTTTCTCTAAAGTTTAGCGTAAATAATGTCATGACCGAATATTTTAATTAGAAAATAATTTTTCTTATTTTATGAGATTAAGCAAGTATGAAATAGTTGGAATCTGGCAATAAATTGAAGATTTAATGAACTTTTTAAAGTGCGTGATAATGCGTGATTGCGGGGAAACGGTAAATGCGTGATATTGCATCAGAAATAGGAAATGGTTTATGCGTTAAAATGCGTGACTGCGGGGAAGGAGGTTAAAGGATTTTCCACAAAATTCTATTTTTAGTAACCATGGCAACACCGTTCATCAAAATCGAACACCGATGCACTATTTTATGTATCTTAGTGTAGTCTACTTGTGTGCCAAGTAATATTGAAATCAGACCAAAACTGTAGAAGGAGTAGCGTTTTAAAGGAATTTCACAGAAAATTCTATTTTTAGTAACTATCAAAATACCGTTCATCGAAATCAAAAACCGATGCACTATTTTATGTATCTTAGTGTTGTCTACTTATTTGCCAAGTAATATTGAAATCAGACCAAAACTGTAGAAGGAGGAGTAGCATTTTAAAGAAATTTCACAGAAAATTATATTTTTAGTAACCATGGCAACACCGTCCATCGAAATCAAAAACCGATGCACTATTTTATGTATCTTAGTGTAGTCTACTTGTGTGCTAAGTTATATTAAAATCAGACCAAAACTGTAGGAGGAGTAGCGTTTTGAAAAATTGTTTACAGACAGACGGACAGCTAGACAGACAGACGGACGGACGACGGACACCTTACTATCGCATAAGCTCTTCTGGTCTCTGACCAGCAGAGCTAAAAATTGTTTTGATGATATGTATATCAAAAAGATGACTATGTTTTTGTGTTAAATGGTTAAAAGAATAAGCCAATGAAATTTGACATTTATATCTAACCTGGTTTTTTTGAAAATCAAGATTTAAGTAGTTCATTGATTAAAAAATTTCTCTCCTTGTAAACAACTAAAGGGGGGTAACTTTCGGAAGTTCCTGTCCAAAAACCACTCGAACGATTTTGTCCAAAATATGCATACATGCAGTAGATATAGTCATGTACTAAATATACAAAAATAACGAAAATTAAACGACAGGAATTTTTTGGGGTAGGTGTGTTGTACATCCTTAATAGGTTCTTGGGGAAGTGATTTCATATAGTCACTTATGTAGCAAGAAATATGACTGTGTAAACAGTTTATTAATTCCTGGAATATATTAATTCTTGGAAGAGAGGTATCCACAAATCTCAAGGAAACTGAGCCATCTCAAAATGTGATGATTCCATAGTACATTGTATTCTAAATTTAAGTATGCAATAATTCATTATTTAGGTGCAACTCAATTTAGATTACTAAACTCATTACTTATTTGTACAGTAAATCATATTTAATTAATCAAACTTTTTCGAGGGCATAAATTATGAACTTATGGTAAGAAGAAAGAGACATCCTTTAAAAATAAGCAGATTCTTTGGAGATGTATGTCTATTTGTTATTTTATTGGTGTTACTTACATGTTGATGTTCAGATTGTCTATCAAGGTCTGCCATTGTCTTTCAAACTGGGTCATTTGCTAAAATATATGTATATTCCATAAATATTCATCATGTTCCTGTTTGTTAAAATCTCTCTTTCTCACTCACTCTCTCTTTCATGCATTTTAATTCCATGCACGACTATTACTATAAAATTACATTTCTGTGGAGTCAACTTAGGCTTGAGGAAAAAAAATTGTTTTGAAGGAATCTGAATTTCAGATTGATGAAGTGTTGGGTAGTTATAAATTTGAAATTTTTACATTTCATGGAGGACACAAATTCATGTTCCTCTTCATGCCACACAGACAAAAATTATTAATTGGGCAGTAAATGCATGATACATATTTGGATATACCATTAAAAATGAAGAGCTACAGTTAAAAATTTACCTCCCTTTGATTATGCATACCTCAGTAAGGAGAACTTCCATAGCACAAGGATCCATAAGACTGTAAATGTTAGAAAGTTGTGGTCCAACATCAACCACCTGTCAACATACATAGTCAAAATACATAGTTATACAAGTAGTACAGAACAAATCAACAACCTGTCAACATAAATAGTTTAAGAAGTAGTACAGAACACATCAACCACTGCCAACAAAAATAGTCAACATATAGCTGAACAAATAGTACAGATCAGATCAACCATCTGTCAATATATGAATATAAATAGTAAAAATAAATAGTTATACAAGTATGATAGAACAGATGGGATATATTGCTCATTTTGAAATATGTTAAGTAGATATGGATAATATTGTTTTGAAATAATTGATAGATAAAAAATATGCTGAAAATAAAGAATCCTCTTTCAACTTCACAGTCCAATTACAGTGTAAACCACAACTAAAACATGAACACTGTACATACCTCATATTGCAATGTGAAGAATCCACCTCTGTAATTAAAACAATTCACTTGTAACACAACAAATTCTTACACAGTCATAGAACAATTTATAGCAGTGATATCTATCTATGAATTATATAAGTTACCTTAATTCTAACTTACCCTTTATAATCCTCTAATGCATATGCTTGGATGATAGGCCATTTCTCAATCATCATGTGATCAAATTTAGCAGGGTGCCCTGTGAAAAGAAAAATTGTCCAACAAATATACATGTAATGAAATATTATAGGGAAATCTACGGACAGTCATATAAATAGCTTCAATGTATATACAATTAATTGTACCGGTAAATGTATTAAAATTTAATAATTTAGACATATACTTTGTGAAAAATTATAATGTTATACAATACATGTATGAGAAATTTAACTATGAACATTTTAACAGTTTTAACAGTTTTATAGTTGTTAATGAAAATTAAAGTTAATATTTACATCAACAGAAACCTTTTCATTTACCATACTAAAGAATGAAATGCATAATTTGAACGGTTTCTCACCCAGCACATTATGGGGGATACCAACTTTCTTCACACCCTGTACCATGGCTATAAAGGACTGGATTTTAAATTCCTCTGCAGCCTCTTCATCTTCATACTAGTCAAATATACAGGGTATATACAAGGTACAAATCATGTCAAATGTTTCCTATATTCTTTGGCATTTGAATTATATGGTAAAGCTAACAGAAGGTCATCAAATTGTTATCTACACAAACACTGTAAATCACTTTTTTACTAGCCAAAACTTTATTTCTATATAGGTTTGCTTGTGATTTTTTTTTTTTTTTTTTACCAGATATCTGTCTTAGTATAGATCATATAAAATAATAGCCAGAATCTGTGAAAATTTTGTCTCCATTATAAATACCAAATACCTTTCTCATGACAATAAGGTGTCCCTAAAAGTCTGATGATCTACAGTAATAAAACCCACCTCTGAATCTGACAAGCAGTGAAATCGTAGATTCCTCCAGTGTGCCACATATGGTAAGAGGTAGTGATAATTGATAGGGTTACAGTATATGTCCACTTCATGTCTTCTGATCAGCAATATCAAGTCTATAATACAGGAATAAACATATACTGCACTCTATTCAATATGTATGTGATACTAATAAAGAAACAATATACATATACTTTATAAAATTAATAATTATTATAAAAATTATGAACAATTTGTAAATTGACATCTTAATCAAAAACATCTTTATGGAATTGAGTTGTTATACGTATAGAGACCAAACTTGAATTATGACTTACAATTGTCCAAAGAAGAATAAGAAAAAATGTGTATACATGTATTTAATTTTATAAAATTAAAGGTAATACAGGAATAAAAAAACCAAAAAGTTGAAAAACCAAAGTATAACATTTTGTTTTAAGTGTTGGCTTGAACTCCAACATAATACACTTACTAATTTGATCTACAATGTCTGCAAAGAAAACAGACAAATACTAATATAAACTTTTACAGATTTTCTCATAAGTTCATGAAATAAATGAAATTTTAATCTCACCATCAATAACTTCTTCCTCAAAACCAGATCTACAAATAAAAACAAATGCATTTCATACCAGAATTATTTATGAAAAAGACCTTTCACATTAAAAAAAAATAAGATTGATGTATTCATTGGTGCTAAAATTCAAAGTTAACTGGTTTTATGAAATGAGAATGCATTTTTATCTGTCGTCATTATACCAGATATTATACTGCAAATTATTCATGATTATGTAATTTTTTTTGGTGTGTGTGTGGGGGGGGGGGGGGGGGGGGGATGGTAGTGTGTTGATAGTTTTGTACATTTTGCCATCCACATTACAGTCAAACCTTATTATCTGGAACTTGATGTAACAGAAAAATTCAAAATATAAGGACTTGTGATATTACTGTAGATTCCTAAATATACGCGTGGAATTAATTATCACGTAATTTTGCGAGAAGCACCACATGTGAAATTAAATTACTCACCTTTATTTCTTTGGTGCTGTAATTTATGTTAAAACTCTTGATCAACCGTCTATTCGCGAATTCTTATTTTCGCGATTTGCTGTTGAAGAGCCCATTCGCGATAAAAAGTACTTGCGAAAAATAAGGAATCTATAGTATGATTGAATTTCAGTGAACGTTCATTAACTTAAAGGGAACTTATTCATGATTGCAAAGACAATTAAAGATGCATGGACAACATAGCCATACTTTGCACAGAAATTTCAATACACCAAATTAATCAGGCATAAAGTATTCTATCATTTTATATATTCCCAATACTTCTTTTAATTAATACAATTTCAACTAAAAAGCATACTGTTCAAGCTCTGCCTTTCTCCGTTCAAAGAATCCAAATAATAGGTAATCAATGAACTCTGTGCTTCCTTCATGATAACGACTGTCTATTCCTAGGAAGGAAATAAAACAAAGTTATCATTTAACTGTATCATGAAAAAGTATAACATAAAAAAATCAAAGCAGAAAATTGATCATCTTCCCGGACCTAGACAAGTTTACAAAATTGACAATCCTTTTTAATCTAAAACTAAAAATACAAATCTATCAAAAAATGCTTACTGTTGATGCAATTAAAATTATTTATGGTAATCATACTTAATCAAGATAAAACTTGCAATTTTTTACAGTACAGTCAAGCATTTTGATAATTTGAATAAGTAAACAAATATACCTGCAATACAGAGAATGGCATCTGGCTTGTTGTCATGATCTTCGGATTTCAGTAACTCCTGAACTGTCCTTAATCTGGACCCACTTCAGAATAACAAAAAAAAAAAGAATGAGATAAAATTTATTGAACAAAATTTCAGAATAAAATGTAACTCTATATGGTCATTTTACTATGATAATGTCTACATTCAACTTGACGTGTCAGGGATTAATCTAGGGCATATTTATTACTGATATACAGTGTTTTTCCCCTCGAGAAAATTTCCCATGAAGATCTAATTTTCCTCTTTTGATGAGTAAAATATTCCCCTTACAATAATAAAAACCCAAATTTTTTTTCCTTCATAAAAACTGAGAAATATGGTTTTACTTTGCTACTTTATGCACTTAAAATGGTCATAAGAATGCTGAAATTCAATTGGCCCCCAAGAAGGGCTTGCCCTGCACTCGCTCAAGTGGTTCAAAGAGTAGTTTCCCCCAAAACCTAGATTAATCCCTGCATGTACAAAGGCCATAACTGATAATAGAAAGGGTAGTTTCGCCAAAAACCTAGATTAATCCCTGCTTGTACAAAGGCCATAACTGATAATCAGATATAGTTGAAAAAAAAATTATCTGGTGTACATGCAGATTATGTACTGTAACATTATTTGAAAGTTGATCCTTAACTGTCAAATATTGCTGTAGTAATAAATATGATTCTTTGGTAACACTCCTTTTTTCTGAAAAACAATTATTATTATTATTATTATTTTATTAATTTATAAAATCACATATAGTTTCTATGCACTGAATTTCATTCTGTAGTAAATGTGTAAGAGAATGGTTGGCTTTATATGAATGTTCCTATTCACATTCAAAGACAAAAAGATTCTTCTTTGAAAAAAATGATGGGGTGGGGGTGGGGGCTCTGACATCTCCTGGAAGTCATTATGTAACTGATAAATTTACATCACAGTACACTGGTTAGTCACTTTTAATGAACTAATTGATCCCTTTTTTTAAGTTTTGTACATTGTTAGATAAATCAAAAATTTGAATTAATTTTTCATGTTATTTCATATAAAATCCATGGATGATATCAAGGCAAAAAATCGAGAGAAAACCATGGACACATCTAAATTATAGGATAAGGTACATGTATTGTGTATCTTGAGCATGTTGAGATACATAGCTGAAAGATTATGTTGGTACTATGTAGACTTGCTCAAGTCTCTATGTTTTAGTGCTCTCTTTCATACTTTTTGATAATGTCAAACATAGATGTTTGATAACATTTAATTATGACAGAGAGCAGAGGGCAGCAAATACAAATAAGAATAAAGAATTTGTAAAAAATATTTATATATATAAAAAAAAAACCAACAATAAAAACATAGAGAATTTGAGCAAGTCTAGGTCTATGATACACTGCTAAAAGAGATGGTGCTGGTACTCTGAAACAGACTATATATTTATTGATTTTGCTAGACCTCTTTATCTTCCTTGCTACATGGAGATGATTTTAAAAGGGGGGGGGGGTATTTCCTTTTTGAAGCACTGGATAACTTTAAAACATTAAACAGTTTGCATGAATCACACACATTCAACCTGAAAGAAAAATAATCATTGAAAAAGGCCTGAATGGTTGAGACAGTACCTGACAAATGATGAAAATGTATCAAGTTTTATGTGCCTTCTTGCAGAGGATGGCCGTTTTAATTTCTGTGACATTACTGCAGCGTTCTATGCTACGACCACCGTCCGCCATTAAAAATCAACATCCGGTGATAGGAATCTTTTGGTCATGCTGTTTGGCGGTAAAACTGACACAGCAGAGAAAACATGAATGCCATGAATGCTTATATATATATCATAATGATTAAAAGGGAGTTTAAATAGACCTAGTAAAAAGAACAACAATAATTTTGTTTAATCAGAGCAATATTAAGACAAAATAAATAAAAATAATAACCGAAACAACTTCTGTACAACTTATTTGAAAATTTATTTTGAACTGGTTCACCTCAATGTTTTAACAACCAGCAGCCTGACGCCTGACTTTGGAGAAAATGAGGACTATTTTGACAAAATTGGCTGATCAGATTTTGCTATCAACGTACAGACAAATATTTCCAGGTAAGAAGAATTTTCCTGTTATTATAAGACATTCATAGATATAGCATAATGGTATACGCCATGCATTTAATTCGAATTTCCTCAGATCTTAAAAACCTTTTTTGTAGGTACAGTCAAATCTTGTTATCTCGAACTCGATGGGACTTAAAACAGGGGACTCTAGATAGGGAGGATTTATAAAGCTAAAGTATTTTAAAAAGAAAATGTTGTTTCTTCAAAAAACTACGAATCCTTCAAAAATAAAGTCTATGAATCTAATATGTTTTACGGTGTGACCGTTTGGGCGAGCGCAGTTGTACCTTCAAAATACACCTGAAACGTAGATCCGCCACTTCAAACATCAAGTTGCACGAGACATCTAGACTGTGATGTCACGCGAGAGCTCTTCAGGGTTTACGGAAACAGCCGAGCGTCTAGTTGAAACTATAGACGTAGTGCAATTTTTGTCAAAAGACATAGACAACTTTCACATTTACTAAAGTTATTTCCCTTTGCGGGGTCAATCCTTGGTCAACCGACATAAGACACTGTTTTTCACTCTATAACTTTACCAACTTTATGGGTCAGTATCTTAGAAATAAAATCTTTATGAATATTTTCATTATGTTTTTTATGTTGCCCAATACTATGGCAGTACAGGTACAGATCGAAATTGTCCGATAATGTTTGAAGATTAAAAATATTAACAGGTAACTTACAAAGGACAAAGTGGGGAAAATGAGCGTTACGCCAATAATGGGAGATAACTCTTAGGAATGTGAAATTCGTCTATAGATAGTTTTCACTTGACCTAAATTTAGCAAAAGTTACCTCCCGTTGGCAGCCATACTGGAGGTCCAAATGCTCATATTGCTTCATTGTTCAACCAATTTTAAATTTTTATATTTGCGATTTTGAATTTAGGAATCATTATTTTTATGAAGTATATAAATTTTTGGAAGCCTCCTTTATTTAAAAAAAATTATTTAATAAAGATTTTCCACCAAATATTTCTGCTATATTTTCGTAAACTTGGTAAGACAAAGAGGAAAACTCACTGAGTCGACCTTAAATATGGCGACCAACGGGAGATAACTTTTGCTAAAATTAGGTCCATCGAAAACTATCTATTGCAGAGTTATTTTTTGTTTCTTTTAATTTTTAGATTTATACAAACTGAAAGCCTTTCATGCTTTACGTTATTATTTGTTTATTTAGGCGAGAGAAATTTAATTTTTAGTTTTACGGATTTTTTTTTCAAAAAAATTGGGTAGGAGGAGGGGAAAAAAAAAAAAAAAAAAAAAGAGCGAAAGAGACTGCAAGTTTTTTATCATTCAATTAAGATGTGAACAAACCTTTATGTTTTTAACCATTCGAAAGTCTTTCAAAATCCCCAAATACCTGGTACTTTTTATCAAGCTGATTATTACAATTGTACTGACCAAATTATTTTCTGGAGACAAATTTGATAAAATATTTAGATTAAATCACTTTCAGTAAGTATCTCCATTTTTTTAGTTAAAGTATTGCCTTTATCTAATCTCCTTGAAAGCCCTAGGGTATGAACAGAATAAATCAGAAAATGAACCAGTGTATGCAAGAAACTAGCTATTTTTGAAAACGGAAAGGATCATTTAAAAAAAAAAAGATTTTTAAAACAGCAGTAATCGTACAATGATAAAAAAAATGTCATCCATTTTAAGGACTAAAATTAACAATATGTTTTATTTCAATTACATGTAAAAATGGCAAGGTGATCAAGTAAGGCTTACTATTATTCACAAGTTCTGGATTAAATGTTTATCATGTTTATGCAGTAAACAAGCCTAACAACTTAAATAATCTGGTCTTCAAATCAAAATTCCAGCAAACTAATCTCAAAGAGAATAAAGAGATTAATTGAAGACTGTGCATAAGTGGGACTCATTATGAAAGAAGCCTTACTACATACCTTTCTAAAATAATACTATAGACGAAACTCTCTTTACTTTTAATGAGGCCTAGTTGAAATGCAATGCCAACTGGCCAAAAACCTCATTGAGAGTGTGGGGCTCATATAAATTAGGACATTTGTGAATGCTGAAGATGCTTTTAATTTACAAATATCTTCAGAATAACACTGATAAACAAACCAAGCATGGCTTGTGTCTCCATGTTAGTTAATATTCTGTGTGAATAAGACGCTTTAAATTACATATTCAGTGCTGCCATTGTCAAACGTTTTGAAGATTTTATTTGATAAATATAATTTTAAAACCAAACTTTGGTGGATATGAAAATTCCGGATTTTTTTTTTTTTTTAGAAATCGGAAAAAATCGGGTCGGCGGATCCGTAAAACGAAAATTATAATTTCTCTCGCCTTATTCGCGCAAAGGGCATTGGGTAGCAAAGGAATTCTGGGAAGGTTTCACAGAAAAATTTGCTTGACGTATGTACACTACAGATTTCATTCCAAATTTCCTCTTTCTTACACGTTAGTCTATTGAGTCGCTTTGCGACTCTTGCTGCGCTCACTATAATATGTCCATAGTATTTATTATCGATATATTGGTGTTCAGCATAGCAAAGTTTCATTGTTTGTGCTAGGCAAAACAGAAAAGATGGGACAGTGCCAATATACGGGTATGAACATGATGAAGGGAAAAGAAAAAAGTGTCTGTCTGGACCAAGAATCAAACCTGTGACTCTGCATCCCAGGTTGATCAGGTGCTCTTACCACTAAGCTACGCAGGCAAATATCCTTGGCGGCGCATACCATTATATTTCACTCTTCTAATAAATTATTCCAACACTGTCTGACAAACCCTTTGCTTTTTTGCACCTTGCAGGATTTATCACTTGCAAGTCTAAGGGCATTTTTAAATACATGTAGTACCAAATTATGTAATAAATAATAATGTTCATTATTTGTGTAACATTGTATTTACATGTTACACAAACAATCACAATGGATAGTGCAAATGCAGCATTCTTCAAAACAAAACAAAAAATGGTTGAAATTATTATTTAAAATTATAAAAGTTTATAATTCAGTGTTTGAAATAACTGTGCGCCTAACCACCCAAGACACACAAATTTTGCACGTAGTGATGCCTGGCTGGATGTGTAAAAAATTTCCATAAATTGAAATTCAGATATTTGATAAAAACCCTCTCAAATCAACTATTACTGGTTGCAACAAGCAAATGGGTAGAATTCATCAGCATATAGATCCAGGATGGAATATATAGTGAGCTGGCCCCAATCACATTATTGCTAAAATGAACTTATAAAAGACAATAATTTTTTTCGGGCTAGTACATTTTTGGCAGGGCGGACAACTTTCACCAGCAATCAGCCCTGCATGTGACTTTGTCTAGCTAATTTTACAGTGAGTTTCAAACACTGATTATATGGACTGAGTAACATTAATATGAAATATTTTTCATTCACATACAAACAGGATGGTATACCCTGTCATCCAGAACAGTAACAACAAGATACTGGGATGGAGAAAAATTTGTAGAAATGGAGACTCCGACTGACTTGGGTGCTTCTGATGAAGTTCCCAAAGGAGACAAACTTAAAGAGGAATCAGAGAAAATTCTGAATAAGCTTGCAGAGGATGACCCACGAGTGATACCCAGGGCCTCTGTTCAAGGGGCCCCCAGGGGACTGAAATACAGAAAGAAGTACATAGAGGCTTTGAAAAGTAAAGAAAAAGCTGAAGAAAGTTACAGCATTCAAAATATTGAAAAGATACTTAGTGAAATGGTGATAGCTCAGCAACAGAACAAGCAGACAGAGAGAGGGGATGGTATTCATGATGAAGTAAGTGTATTCTCTCTCTCTCTCTGAGAGTGAATTTCAATCTATTGACTGTTTTTTTAGCTCACCCCAGCTAAAGGTACAAGTGAGATTTTTTTGTTAAAAGAGTGTCTCGCATATATTTTGTCTTTTTCTGTCCCTCTGTCTGTCATCTTGTTCACATTTTTGACTTCTCCAAAACCAAGGCCGATTTCAACTAAATATGCCCCAAAGCATCATTGACAGGGTTCTCACTAGAAATTTCTTATCTTGAGTCCCTTAAAGAAAGATTTTTGACATGTTTGAGAAGGTTGAATTCTAGCTAAATTTGCCGAGTCCCATCAAAATTACACTGAGTTTCAACTGCATGCATCAAACCTTTATTTCAACATTAAATGCAATATAGTACATGATAAATGAAAACAAAATATATTCAAGCTGCATAACTAAATACATCTGCAATTATGTGCCATAAAAAAAGTTCAATTTAATGCTGATATAGGAAACAAATCATAATTGCATTATTAAACAAACAGATCACTGAAAGTAGCTTATTTAGATGATCAACTGCACAGGTGACATATGATTAAAGCTAATGAATCTTATCAGTCATCTAGCTGTCATATAATGTCAATTTTGTAGATATTTTGTGGTTCAATGAAAATTTTGATTGAGCTGAAGAGATCTTTATTCTGAAACCTTTGTATTATTGTAGTTTTCACTTATTAAGAATGAGAAACCACCCAATCCATATGCCAAAAAACAACGGAAGTGTATTCTTTGTGAATATGATGTTCATCTTGATTACAAGGTAATTTGCTCATTTAAAATGATAACTGTAGTAGTATGCATTTATATAACGTATTCAGTATCATAAAATAGATAATATTGCATGTAGTTGCAAGTAAAATTGAAAATTAGCACTCCTCGAAAACCATACATTGTCAACCTTGGCTACATTTCAGTTGCCAATGGTTTTCTTTGGGTGAAAATTTCAGTCTTTTCCTCAACTATTTGCAATTATTTATATATTCTGAATGCAAAGTGAGCTTTTCTAATTTTATTGCTTCTGTAGAATGCTCGGTTGCTGAGTCAGTTTGTGTCACCCCACACGGGGAGGATATACAACAGAGGGACCACAGGACTGTGTACACCAATGCAGAAACATGTTGCCAGTCTTATCAAAACAGCCAGGGCATTTGGTAAGATCTGTTCTAAATATCATTCAGTTTTAAAGAAAAGTGGGATGATAGCAAGATAAATAATAATGTTTTAATACAGTAAAACATGGTTATAGGAAACAGACTTATAATGAATTGGTGCTTTAGCAAAGTGATTTTCATCCTTCCCCCGACTTATGAATGCTTTGAACATTTGAATTATGCTTATACCATAGCAAAAACTTTCATCCCTGACATTTCGTTATAAGGCTGATTTACTGTACATGCTTGATAAAAAAATTGATGCTTGGTATTTATTCTGTAGACAAACTAATGCATGAATATGTATTTGCTCTATTAATTAATCTATAAGACCTAAAAAGAAATGAAAGCTAGAGCACAATTTTACTACTTACATACTGTCTTTAATGTTTCAGGTTTCATGCCTTTTCTCAACAAAAGAATGGAATTCAAAGATGATCCTGACATCAGATCAAAAGAGATTTCTTGAACTTATAGATTTAATAAATGATAATACAGGCAATCTTGCTATTATTATTAGTTAAAATGCACAAATTTTATCATAAACGACATATCTTATACATATTCAACCCCCCATTATTAAATACAAGTTGATTTTGTCATGTTAAGTCTCTTATTCATGAAAATCGCTGACATAGCACATAGCAGTGACGTAGAATCAAATTTGAAGGAGGGATTAAACTTATCTGAAAAGAATTCGAAAATAACAAGAAAAAACCCCAATTGTTTTCTGCTGGAGGGGATAAGTTCCAACATCCTTCGGTACTATTTTTAGCTCTACTGGTCAGAGACCAGAAGAGTTTATGTGATAGTAAGGTGTCCGTTGTCCGTACGTCTGTCTGTCTGTAAACAATTTTTCAAAATGCTACTCCTCCTAAAGTTTTGGTCTGATTTCAGTATAACTTGGCACACAAGTAGACAACATGAACATACATCAGTGCATCGGTTTTTGATTTTCTTGAACAGTGTTATGGTTACTAAAATACTAAGATACATTATATAGAGTATGGGTTTTTGATTTTGATGAACGGTGCTGCCATGGTTACTAAAAATAGAAATTTCTGTGAAATTCCTTTAAAACGCCACTCCTCATACAATTTGGTATAATTTCAATATAATATGCATACATGTAGACTACACTAAGATACATAATTCTATTTATTGCTGCCTGTTGCAAAGTTTCAAATCGAAGTGTTCTTATGAGACTGTATAAACTGAGGAGATTCCACAAAGTTTCGAATCGAAGTATTGGGATGAGACCGTATAAACTGAGGTCCCGTGTGGCAGTGGGTGCTGGCATGAAAAAGATTCCTCCCTGCTCAATGGCCCTGAGTGTATAGGACAAAAGTTGCAACTCTTCATAGGCAAGTGGTGGCATCTCCATGTGAGTGAAAAATTCTTGAGAGGGACGTTAAACAATATACATATACAATCTTTTCCTTTGTTATACATACAGACCAGTACAGCTACAGTCTCATCAGAGACTTTTGGTTTTTACACTAACTTACTGCATTAATTACATTATCAAAAAGAGTGGGGTTTTAGTTAACATTTCTATAGTAAAAAGGTTATTTCTGGAAAAAAGTTGGGGGGGGGGGGAGGGCGCAAATATTTGATATGTAGATGAACCATGGTAAGAGAAATACATTGTAAAAAGTTCTTAAACACCCAATTTTTTGTTAATGCCTCCCAAATCTACCTGATTGAAGATCAATAATACACCGCCCGTCAATCGTTAAAAAAGATGTGTTTGTGAAACACTGATGCCCCCGTATGGCAACATAGTGAAGATTAAACTTTTCTTAAATGCAAATTTGGTATCCAAAGTAGGGTCTTCTAACTGTAAATACAATTGTGAAACATGAAAGCCCTATCACCATCTGTTCCATAGGCGTAGTCACAGGGGGGGCAGCGGGGGCACTAGCCCCCCCACTTTCAGATCTGGGGGGGCAAGAGTATGTCTGTGCCCCCCCCCCCACCTTTTAATGAAGAACAAAGTCACAGGTATTTTGAAATAATATTAAACCTCATTTTAAGGCATTTTTTCTATGTACAACAACTGAGTAAGCATTTCTGTTGAAGTAATATAGTTGGATAATGCGGGTCAAAAAATTGGAATTGAAAGTAACCTGCCTTTGAAAAAAAGTTTTTTTTTTTTTTTTTTTGGCTTGTCAAAGAATTTCTGGACTTGAGCCCCCTCACTTTTAAGTTTGTGACTATGCCTCTGTGTTCCCAAGTTATGGCCACACTAAAGTTTTTTCAAAAGTACAGAAATCTTCAAGGTCAGAAGGTCAAGGTTATTGGTATCCAATAAAAGGTATTTCCACAAAGAACACATGTGTGAAGTATGGAAGCCCTAGCCTTAACCATTCAAAAGTTATGGCCAAGTTTAAAAAGATTTTAAAAGTAGGTTAAACTCCAAGATCAAGGTCAGAAGGTCAAGGTTGTTGGTATTGAATTACATGTAAAGGTCTTGTCAAAAGAATTACATATGTGGAGTATGAAAGCCCTAGCCCTTACTCTTTAAAATTTATTACCAAGGTTAATGTTTTTTCATAAGTCTGGAAATCTATCAATAAATACTCTTGCCACAAAGAATACAGATGTGAAGTATGGAAGCTCTAGCCCTAGCCGTTCAAAAGTTAGGGCCAAGGTTAAAAATTTGTAAAAGTAGGTCAAACTCTAAGGTCAAAGGGTCAAAGGTCTTGATATCAAATGAAAGGTCTTGTCACAAGGTTAAAAAACATAAAGTATGAAAGCACTAGCTCTTACCCTTTAAAAGATATGGTCAAATTTTGATTTTTTAAAGTAGGTCAAATTCCAAGGTCAAGGTCAAAGGGTCAAAGCTCTTGGTATCCAATGAAGCGTCTTCTCACAAGGATTATATATGTGAAGTATGAAAGCTCTATAGCCCTTACCGTTCAAAAGTTATTGCCAAGGTTAAAGTTTTTTTTATTAATAGTGCATAAATCTCCAACGTCAAAAGTTCAAGATTGGTGGTATCCAATACGAGGTCTTGTCGCAAAGAATGTATATGTGAAGAATAAATGTCCTGGTATCTACTGTTCCAAAGTTATGGTCAAAGGAAAAATTTGGAATTTTTGTGTAATAGTGGGTCAAACTAGGTCAAGGTCTAAAGGTCAAATTTGGTGGTACCCCAAAGAAAGGTCTTGTCAAAAGGAATACACATGTGAACTATGAAAATCATAGCTTCACTAAATCAAAAGTAATGGACAAGGTTAAAATTTGCGGACAAACAGAGAAAGAGAGAGGGACAGACAGACGGACACGACAAAAACTATTATATTTTACCCCCTGAACCTTCGTTTATGGGGGCATAACAATAGCTTCTTTGATAAGGCCATTCCAAGTTTTATCTATGTATAGCGTCTGCGTGCACCTTGTTTTTGAAACCCCATATAAGAAAAAAACATGCAAAATCAGGAGTCCTGAAATTAATTAATTTAGTCTAAATTTTTTAATTTTGTCAATTTCTCCAAATAATTCTGTACAGAAAGTTATATTGGGTGTATTTTAAACATTTAATCCCTTGTTTTTGCTTAAGAATAGATATTTCTTCTATCAATTTGAAAGCAGTTTAGTTAGATCAAATCATTTGAAGGGCATAATTTTTATGACTTTTAAGCCTGTGTTTTATGTTTTGGCTTGTGTGTTTTTTGCGGTTAGGTAGGTAGGTTTTTAAAAGATCATTGGAATGGCCTAATCTGAGTTTGCATGTTTTGAAAATAATTACCTGCATGGTCACGTGTCAAACGCTTTCATGTACCGCATAAAAGTTGCTTTGTATACAGTGTGGTTACAAGTAAAAATTATTATAACCAAGTTGCTGCTATTTTAGTGGGCAGTTTTATTAAAAAAAAATAATTGATTTTTGGTAAGTAATTTAAGAAATATTAAGGCTCTAAATCTTCAAAAAAGTTCTAAAGGTCCATATAGTAAATCAAAGTGCAAGTGTATCAAAACATACACTATAAAATGATAAAAGTGAGGTCATGGTCAAATAAAAGGTCAAAGTCAAAAATGTTGATGCAGTTGAATTGCTTACATCAGTATGTATCAGCATATGAATTCGATACTTATTTAGGAAAAGTGAGGTCAAAGGTCAAAGGAAAGGTCAAAGTCAAAAATGTAGTTGAATTGCTCTCATCAGTATGTAACGATAAAAATATCTTGAATGGTATCTTTAAAACTGAGCTAAACACAATAATCAAAGATAAGTGAAGTCAAGGGAAAATCTGGCACCTAAAATATCAAACTCACACTGAAAAAATGATTTTCGGACTATTTAAAAGCACCTGCGCTTTTTTGTAGATTTTTTTCTGCTGCTGCTTTTCCTTATAAAGTTATCTTTTTTGTGGTTCCCTTCCTTCTTGATCCGCCACTGATCCGCCTTCTTTTGCATGTGTTTGGAGTTCGCGGGAAAATGCCGTTGCCACGCATTCTCTGCGAACCTGTGTCTGCTCATGCAGAAAATTTGGAAATAGTTCCAAGGCTTGTAAAATATATGCGTATGAATCGACAGCGCCAAAAATTATGACAAATAACGATAAAATAATTAAAACTTTAACAAAGACATGGTATATTTCAAGAGAAGTAAATAAATCAGTAAATAATAGTGAGGAAGGGTGACACCGAAACGGTTTATATTTAAGCGTAGGCATATCCGGCGTCAACCTAGAGGAACAACCAAGGTTTCCTCTGGGGTAATATTGAGTTATCGTATATTCTTTATGTTTTTCCTCCGATGTTAGTACGTAGACAGTCTTAGTGATGTAGTTCTGCTTTGAGGAAACAATATTTGCACCAGGGCGTTCACATGCAGCGAACTGTTTATCTCTGAGTGTCATGAATGTAAATCTTTAAACGTACCCCCATCGTCCTTCAGTTTCCGGGGTAAGTTACCTGAATTTATTGAAGTTAAGCACATTGAAAATCAGAATTAAAAAGAAGAACCTTATCCATTTTATGATATGTCAGTACATGGGGTGTCCTGTTGCTTTTATAACGTAATGTGTGCCCTGTCTGTGTGGACTAGGATGTCATCCGCCTTCCCCCTCCATAGTTTTTTGACTCTGTCTATAAATCTTGCTGATAACCACAATAACTTTGTGGAATAAGGACAAATGTCTTTTAATTAGCCAACAATCCAATATATGCAGGACTGATATGAAGAAAACGTGGATTTTACGTTGTTGCGTCAGTTTATTTTGACAAGGGAAATAACTCTTGCAACTGTCAAAAATTTTAATGAGAAAAGTTCAGTAAATGGGGCATTTATAAAGTTTTCCCAGAAAATGACATCACTGTTTTTTATTTTAAAGATGATTGAATTGGGTAAAATGATATGATATTTGTCAGGTTTTAACATGGACCAAGGATTTAGCACCTATATACAGCATTAAAAAAAAAAAAACACTAATGAGACGATGTCAGTGGTTAACCCTAGTCTAATCAGGTTCAGAATTACAAATAAAGTGTCAAAGTCTAAATGCAAACATGTTTGACCATACACTTGTTGATAAAAATGTTGTTCCTATTGTAATTTTTTGTTCAAATTTTCTCTGTTGTTTGACAGGAAGACAATGGAGTTGTCTAGAAGAGAGATGAAGAGATACATACCCAGAGATAGAATTTTCATGTAAAGCTTTATCAAGCACCTTGTCTTCCTCTTAAACCACCAAGGCCATGTTGTCCATTAAGAAATTACCCAGTACACGACTGTCCCAGTGGTTTCACTGTATGTATCCATGTTTGGCAAAGAAGCTGTGCTGAGCAGTTTCCATGAAGTTTCCTGAGCATAAACTGTTCATGGAAACTGTGCGGCTGCCGTCGCCAGTTCAAAAGTGGTTTGGTCACCAGTTGGAGCTTCGTGGCATCGACTCCATCATTTATTCCAGACACATAATTCACCTTCTTCAGCAGGATGATGATGAGTTTCAAGACTATGTTGACCTTGACCTCCTTTTCGACCCCAAAGCTGACAAAAAGCATCAATGTAAGCCTGCCAGATATGACAAGAAAAAGTTGAAGAATTCTGAGGAGAGAAAAAAGTCGGCAGCAATTGAATGTCTGCAAGCTGTTTCAGATGAGGTAAGAAAGAGAATTTTTATGTTTTCAATAAGCTTAGGGATACCAGAAGGGGATCGATCACTGTTTCAAAGTCTGAAAGAACTTTATTCGGTAATAACCAATATTTGCCCCCCCAAATCAAACTTTGATAAAGTTATATTTAATTAAGTTCTTAAACAGGGGAGTATATGCTGACTTCAAAGCACTGAATATTTTCATAAGTAATGACGTCATATGTACGTAATGACGTCACAAAAATGACGTAAATTTAAGATTTTTATGAATTTTACAGAAAAATGTACATATTTCGTCGATATTTAGAGTAAAAGTCACCGAGCGCATGTGTGTTCAGGATTAATATTTTGATATAATGTGTAGAATAATAATATCAATGAAATATGTCAATATTGTTCCTGAACAAACTTGCGCTCTCTATATTTTAAAGCTAAAATTGCTGAGATTTTGTCCTCTTTCTGAAAAAGGATATAAAATCGGACTAGTTTGTGACGTCATTAAAACAAAAATTGTGAATACACTGCTTTGAAACTAATAATTTCTGTTAATTCATATTTCTCATACAATTTATTGAATTCAGCACATTTCAGGAAGTTTTCAAAATTTGACTTTTGTGGGGGCAAATATATGCAATATACCGCATATAGTTCTTTGCTGCTTCAAATCTCATAATTGGCAAAGGAAACTATTGGAATTAATTCTAAAACAGCCACTTTAAATTGATAAATTTGCCTATTTACTTCATAATTATTGAAAACCCCGATATTATACATATATATTGAAGGAAAAATAAAACAGTTTGGTTTTCCTTATTGAATGTAGTGCTCATATTTTGTTGTTTTGAATCGTACTGGTAATCTTAATTAGAACAAACAGATCACCAACACTTCGTAAGAATGCACATGTAAATTTATTTGGTTGACCGGTTTCGACCAGAGATGGTCGTCATCAGAACAATTATACAAAAATATTCTTTGCCGAAGTCAAAAATGCGGATGACGTTACTATAAACAATTAGAAATGCGGAAGATTTATACAGTATGCGGATGACGTTGCTATGAAAATGCAGAAGATTTGTCCAGTATGCGGATTACAGGGCTTTCAAAAAGATTTGAACCAGGTGGTACTTTATGAAAAATAGGAGGTACCACTCGGTAGGGGGGTCCGGGGGCATGCCCCCCCGGAAAAATTTTGAAATTTAGAAGCCACCAGACAGCATTTCCTGGTTTCTAGACACATAGAAGTATGCTGCTATCAGTGTTATTTTCATGCCATGTTTCCAAGTTTATTTTTGGTCAATACACATTACATGTGAAGTTTAGCACTGGATGGGTGGAATTACATAGAAAAATTAGTTATTTGAGCAGAGTAACAATAAGATTTAGGTAAAACTTCCAAGTTCTATGCTATATTTGTTTATATAAATTTGTTCAAAAAATTTTGCAAGGTTTGAGTTGTAAGTGGTATGTTTTAAATATAAAAAAATTATCGAGTCATGAAAGGAAATGGAAATTCAAAATTTAAATTTAATAAAAGAGAAGTACATGAAATTGTATTTGCATTAAATGAAATTCATTTTTGTTCTACAGTAAAGTGCAGATTAAAAAAAAATTAGAAGAAGCACTACATGATGCATAGCATGTACCAATAAAATCAGCATATTTTTCATGCACTGGTACATGTACATATAAAATAATATACATGTGTAAATTAGACAAAGATGACATCAAGACTGGAGTTCCTTTAAATTTGCTGCACTTCATGCGTTAAAAATCGGATTCGATTAATTAAAAACGTGTTTGCTCTTGTATTTCATATTTGTTTGTCACTGTTATTTCTTGAAATGGTCCATCAGATCATATTGATGGCCCATTCATTTTCTAAATGGCCCATCAAAAATGTTGACAGTTGCGCCATAGTCCCATTGACCATTTTGGCCTTCCCAATCACTAAATATCATACATTTATATAAATTTAAATGTTACATCTAATGAACACTGGGCAGGTCATTCATATTTTTAGGTCACCTGAGTAAACTCAGGTGACCTATTGCTATCTGTTTTCGTCTGTCGTCGTGCGTTAACATTTGAACATTTTTAGCTTCTTTTCTGAAACCACTGAACCAATTTCAACCAAATTTGGCCTATAGCATCTATGGGTGGAGGGGAACAAATTTTGTGAAGTTCATGGTCCCTGCCCCCAAGGGGCCTGGGGGGTGGGGCAAAAACCACTAAAATTAGTGCAGTCTTTAAAAATCTTCTTCTTTACTCCTGGACATCAAGCAGTCAAACGGTTGGTATGATTGTAATCAGCATTGAGTCCTCTACCAAAATTGTGAAATTCATGGCCCCAGGGTCAGGGGTTCTAGTGCTAGGGCGGGGCTAAACAGGTTATATAGTGAAAATGCAAAAATTCTTTGAAATTCTTCTTCTCTGCTCATGGGCATTAAATAAACTAACCAAGTGCATAGCTATGTTGAATAAGGCTGCCTCTTCCAAAATTGTGAATTTCATGGCCCCAGGGTCAGGGGTTCTAGTGCTAGGGTGGGGCTATATAGATTATATAGTAAAAATGAATTATTTCATTGAAAATCTTCTTCTTTGCTCCTGAGTATTAAATAAACTAACCAAGTAGATAGTTAATATGTTGAATAAGGCTACCTCTTCCAAAATTGTGAATTTCATGGCCCCTGGGTTAGGGGTTCTGGTGTTAGGGCGGGGCTTTATTGATTATATAGTGAAAATGCATAAATTCTTTAAAACTCTTCTTTTCTGCACCTGAGTATTTAACCAAAGAACTATGCACATAGTTATGAGGAGGAAGGATGTCTCTTTCAGATTTTTGAATTTCATGGCCCCTGGGTTAGGGCTTCTTGTGTTATGGTGGGGCTCTAACATGTCTAATGTTTATATAGTGAAAATGCATGAATCCTTTGAAAATCTTTTCCTGTGTTGTTGGGTATAATGCCAAATGATCTTAGTATATATTTATGACAAAAAACCTGCTTCTTCCAAAAATTGTTAATTTCCTGTCCCCTGGGACAGAGGTACTTTGAAGGGGGGGGGGGGGGTACATAGTCTGAAATAATTTAATGCTTTGAAATCTGCACTTTGGTAATAATCAACAGCATGATGAAATTAGATTTTAAAAAAATTCCAAAACTTTGAAAGATATGGCCCCAGGGTCAGTGGTTCCTGTGGGATGGGGAGCTAAACTGTCGACCCACCCTAACACAAGAAACCCTGACCCAGGGGCCCTGAAATTCACTAAAAGTGGAAATGCATTTTCTCTTTGTTACTCTGATCTACCTCTGGGTATTAAGTAACCAAAATAAGCATGCTGAGTGTATAATTATGATAAGCAATGGTGTCTCTTTCAAAATGGTGAATTTCATGGCCTCTAGTTTAAAACTTGAATCAAATTCAATTGTTGGAAAGTTGTCGCATGATACTCAGGTGACCTATAAGACCCATGGGCCTCTTGTATGGATACAGGGATTAATCTACGGCATATTTGCTACCGATTTTCGGTGTTTTTCCCATAGAGAAAATTTATCCCCTGAAGGTCTAATTTTCCCGTTTTGATGAGTAAAATATTCCCCTTGCAATAATAAAAACCTCAAATATTTTTTTTCTCTTCATAAAAACTGAAAATTTAAAGTAAAAATTTTTCAGTATATGAGAAATATGGTTTTACTTTTCTACTTTATGCACTTTAAATGGTCATAGAAATGCTGAAATTCAATTGGCCCCCAAGAAGAGCTTGCCGTGCACTCGCTCGAAAGGTTCCCAGACCCCGGCTGATTTTCCCAATTTCTCCAGAAAGGGTAGTTTCCCAAAAATATCTAGATTAATCCCTGGGATATATTTGTTGATTTTAATATTTGAAGAAACAAAACATGAGAGAAGATGTCTGACACATCTTCAGGTGCTAATAGTTACCATGGCATATGTATGTCCTATCTGTAATTTCAGTCATATGATTTAATAACATAAAAGGTTAATTCATGTTAAGTGATTATTAAGGTAGTTCAGTCACGGAAATACTAGTTTTAATTGGAATAAAAATAAGGGATGACTTTAATGGTTAATTTTTATTTGGTTATTTTGATGTTTGTTTTATGTCCATGTGCCAAGAAAATGTTGTCTATTCTTCATTTATCCTTAACCCACATATATATTTAGAGAATCAGATTTAAGAGGACTAAAGTGCCATTTTGAAGTGCCCTGGTTTTGCTGGCACATTATATTGGAGAAAGAATGGAATTATTACAATACAGAATGTATGAAGTTGTACCATGTGTACCGGTTCATATATAACCATATGTACCGGTAATAATACTGAGCATAAATTCATAAGAATTTGCAAGATAAACAGGATTTTCATTTGAATTTGGCAATAGTCAACTGCATGTCATGATTAGGTCAGGTAAATTGTTAAGATTTCATATCAGTGAGTTGGGAATTTGCATTTGACATGTCATTATCAAATGTGAATATGTGCGATATGCATAAACATTTTTATTTTTTATTTTTTGAAAATATAAGGCAGAATAAACTTAATTTGCATCAAGGCTTCTTAGTCATGGGGAATATTATTATAAGTTAAAAAAAAAAAAATTTTTTTAAAGGAATGACCATATCTGCATCCAAACTCCAAAGGGGAGAATGGAAAAATTGGGTTTGGTTGTTTAATGACAATTTTTTAAAATGTTTTTTTTTCATAGACTTTTGATTAAAAAATGACATGTCATATGTGGAAGCTTCATCATGCAATAAATTATAATTATATTGGTCCATCATGTGAATTGGTAGTGATCAAGGGAATGGAAATGTCAAGTTGTCTGTCCACACGCAATATGGAAAATTTAAAAACTCAATAATGCATAATCCTGTCTCCTTTCTCCTAAGGAAATCTTGGATCCACCCATGTATCACATGCTACAGCATGTGCCTGCCTGCCTACCAGTACTTACTAAGACACTGAGGTGGAGAGGAAGGAATTTAACCTCGACCTTCTCAGGTCATATGTAAAAAATGCAAGGAATTAATCAGAATATTTATAGAGCAATGGCCTTACAACATGCTGAACCCTTGTCAACTCTAAAGTATTTTTGTTATAAGATTTCCCTCCAATCATGCAAAATTGTTGTGAATTCCGACTTCAACATGTTCAATATGCTTAATTATAACCACTCCAGTGTAGGGATTCCCTATGTTTTCTGTTCATACACTACACAAGAAATTGGCTCGGGGCCAATGAGTCCATTGTTGACTTCAGAGAGGGGAAAAAATAACACATTTAGCTAGGTGTATCAAACATGAGAGTGAATCCCCTCTAATTCATTATCCTAAAATATTTGCCAATAAGGGGACATAACTCTTTTGAAGGTATGAGGGTGTATGTCTTTTGTGTACCTTATTCAGCCAGCTGAGGCAATTATATGTATGGGAATGTTCGTAGTTATTATATATTGATCATGTGTTCTTTTTTTTTTTACTCTAGGACAATGGTATAGAGAATCTAGTAGAGGAATTATGTCACAAATTGAAGGCTCTGGAACAACATGATGGTAAGTTGAAAAAGGAAGTCAGTGTCCAATAATCAGGATAGTATTAATTTTAACAGTGAGAGAATTAATTGAAATCTTTGGAGGTTTCAGGGAAAATTTTTAATGTTTTGATGAGGGATGGGCAGTGCTAATTAAATCTTTGCTGTGTGTAAAAATTTCAAGTTTTTAAAGTTGCACTTTATATGTGTAATTCATATAAATATTCAGAAATTCCTTGTTCTTCTTAGCCTAAGTAAGATTATGACAGACGATCACATGTCTGTTTATGTCTTCGCAGAGAATTTTTTTTTTATGGGACTGCTTTGTTATGAGGTCATGATTGATGTAGTGGATATAGAAAAAGGGGGTTTAGTAAACTTGGTAAAGGAGTTGGGAGATTTGCCATGATTCTGGGCCTTGATTGACAGATGCAGATCTGCCTCCTCTATAGTCACCTGTTAATGGGAATATTTAGTCCAGAAAACACCTGTGATGTCTCATCTTGAAAAAGGACAGCAACCCCAAGAAATCAATAGATCCCTCATGTATAAATTCAATCACATGTTTTTGTGTCAGCTTATGAAACAACAATAGAAAAGAGATGAAGGAAGGGGATGCATGGGGGGTTTGGGGTGTGGTGGGGGTGGGGGTCAAAGAAAAAATTGTGGCCTATGGCAGTAAATAGTTTTAATTTGTTGTATTACTCTGAGAAAATAAGAATTAAAATTTTTTTTGGAAATTTTTTTTGCCTTGAGATTCCCCATATCTGTGAAAAAAAAAGATTTTCTCCTATTGTAGGACTTTGAATAGAAAGTATGTCAAATTGTGTAGAATACACAACAAAAGGCATTAAATGTAAACAAACCAGGAACAAAAATAATTTTCACCATGTTCACTGTCTATACTTTTACCAGATTTTTAGTTTGATAAGATCACATTTCAAATTTTTGGAAGTTCCATGTTTGATTTATAGGTGTTATTATTTATCTGTGTATTATTGGACAGTTCTGCTCATGCATAAATTAAAGCCAGGAAAATGACTCCTTCTAAAATGTGTCTGTTTGACATTGTACACAACATTGAAATCTGCTTAGAAAAAGCTTTTCATATGTTGTTAAAAAAAAAAAAGCAAACTTGCATTCTTACATGATGAGGCTAAAATTTATACTTAGCCAGATTAATATTTCAGATGCTAGTCTTAGTATATTTTTATACATGTACCTAAGGTGTCACTATTAAAAGATGTGTTTAATCATGTTAATCAAACTGATGGTTAGTGGAAAATGACTAAGTTAATATTCATCAGTCCAAAATACGACATGTAAAATCTCTTGAAGACACAGTTTTAAGGACAGTGGATTTGACCTACATTTTCTAGAAGAGTGATTCAGTTTAAGTTTTTGGAGCAGTTCATTCAATATGAAGTAGCTATTAGCCTATGTTGTAAATTTGGATGGATGATACATTTAGGATGCATACTTCTGAACATGCTTCGGACATGTTTCAGATTCTGGATTTGACCTATATTTTTTGGAATCATCCAACTAGATTTAAGTTTTTCGAGCAGGTTCATTACCAAGAAACTGGAAGGCCTTCCTTAACCTGGATGGATGATGCATGAGGGGAAAAACACTCTCAAAATTGCTTCAGATTATGTATTTGACTAACTTTTTCTGAATCAGAGCTTAGTTATGAAATTTTTAGAACAAGTCCATTCCATAGTAACTGCATTAGTGCAAGACCTGAAATGAAAACAAAATTGCATAAAAGTTGTATAGATCTACTCTAAAAAAAGCTCATTACTAGATTGTTGGTCTATAGTGTTAGACTTTGACTTACTTTAAGATAACATTTGTTGAGGTGAGGTCTGCCATCATTGATTAACTATGTTAAAGTCACCTGCTAGACTCAGGTGACATATTCAATATTGCCACCCAGATCTGGTTTTGCCTGTCATTTGGTCATAAACTTTGGAACATTTTTGGCTTCTTCAACCAATTTCAAACATTTTTGATAAATATAAACTTAAAATTTCATGGTCTCTGTCCTTAGGCCATATAAAATTAATCTTTCAAAGAACTGTTGCCCGCCCTTTTAGCCCCTCTCAAAATGTCCCGCCCCGATGTTTTTTATTTTGATTTTTTGGGTATTTTCATGTATATTTTCACAAATAATGTAAGAATTTGGGTCAAAGTTTATAGAGTTATCTCCCCATCTGTTTTCAAAATGCTACTCGTGTCGCTATTTATAGCAAAAACGCCATGTGAACACATGGAGAAAAATCGGCAATAAAAGCAGTTTAAATGTGTAAGGAAAAGATAATTTGTTCAGTATAGAGAAGGCACACAAGAAAAAATAGCATAAACACATAGATACCATCACTGGCAGGAGCAAAAATATGTAGAGAGATTGTAACTAAGTAAAAATAACTTGGCACACAATGACACCTGGTCAAATTATATATAACGATTTCAGCTGTGTGACTTAGAAATTTGTGAAATAAAAAAAACTCTACAACATTTTGTAGACAATACTTACACAGAATTACCTAGATTTTTCAGTAGAATAATTATTAGAACATTTATATAGATTTTGCAAAAAAAATAAGAAGTCACGCATACACAATTTATTGGTATCCCCACCTCATTTTGTTAACATGGGTGTGCCGTGATATATGTGTACTTGATAATTTGTTAATTAACAACAAATATTTAACTTTTAAAGCAAAAATTTTCTTTTTTATAATATTTAAAAGAATTTTTATGAAAAGAATTAAATCTATTTTAAGAATACATATTTGCATTAAGGTAATACTTTCTTAATGAAAAAAATGTGTAACCCCCCCCCCAACTTTCAATTTGCTTTCGGGGCGTCCACACACACAACTTGTTTTGTTTGATACTTAGGCCTATATATAAATTGACAATTATAAAAAATAAAAAGTAAAATCCGCCCACCCGCCCCAATTTTTTTGCAAATTAGGATGAGAATCTAAAGATTAATTTTACCTGGCCTTATCGAGCTTTCAAATGATGTATGTGGTCATAACAATCAAAGTTATTTAATTTTCAAAGAACTGTTGCCATTGACTAATAAAATTATTTGAAATTCTTTTAGATCATTACTTCTTGAGCTTGGTTGAATTTTAGTAAGACTTGGGTTGATAAATGATCGTTCTTATAAGAAGTTCCTAGAGCTACAATCTGGCCATAGTCTTCTGGTTTATCTACATCTTGCAGACAGATTATTATTTTCATTACTTTCTTCTTAGTTTGATTTTAATAATGACTTGGAACACAAATAATGAAAATCTGCAATATTTATCCTACTTATTGTTTTTAGCTCTACTGGTCAGAGACCAGAAGAGCTTATGCGATAGTAATGCGTCCATCGTCCGTCCATCTATCTGTAAACAATTTTTCAAAATGCTACTCCTCCTACAGTTTTGGTCTGATTTCAATATAACTTGTAACACAAGAAGACTACACTAAGGCACATAAATTAGTGCATTGGTTTTGGATTTCGATGAATGGTGTTGCTATGGTTACTAAAAATAGAAATTTCTCTGAAATTCCTTTAAAACACTACTCCTCCTAAAGTGTTTGTTTGATCTCAGTATAACTTGGCACACAAGTAGACTACACTAAGATACATAAATTATTGCATTGGTTTTGGATTTTCATGAACGGTGTTGCTATGGTGACTAAAAATAGAAAATTCTGTGAAATTCCTTTAAAAAGCTACTCCTCCTAAAGTTTTCGTCTGATTTTAATATAACTTGGCACACAAGTAGACTACACTAAGATACATAATTTAATGCATCAGTTTTTGATTTCAATGAACGGTGTTGCCATGGTTTCTAAATATAGAAATTTCTGTGAAATTCCATAAAATTACTACTCCTCCAACAGTTTTGTTCTGATTTCAATATAACTTGGCACACAAGTAGATTACACTAAGATACATAATTCTATTTATTGCTGCCTTTTGCGAAGTTTCAAATACAAGTGCTACTTTTCCTTTGTTATACATACAGACCAGTAGAGCTATGTCTCATCAGAGACTTCTGGTTATTTTGATGAATCGAAATGGTTTTTAAAAATTGATTTATCTGTGAAATTCATTATTTAAAATTTAAAAATGATATTTTTTCTACAATGTTCTGCATTTTTTTTAGTTTGATTTTGTCATTTCTCCTACATTTTTGGTCTGTATTCATTAAGACCCAGTATGCAAATACACTACATCAAGATATTGATTTTTTATTTTAATGAACATTGTTGCCATAGTTACTAAACATAAAGGAAATGCATTAAAATTCTAACGATTTGGCCCATTTAAAAAAAATTGGTACATATATATTATTATAACAGTAACTTGATCCGAAGGGTCGTATCATGTCGAGTTGACAGGCGCAGATCATCAGATCTAACGAGACGCGAAGTGTTGAGTTTGATCTGATGATCCGCGCCTGTCAACGAGACGTGATACGGCTCTTCGGATCAAGTTACTGTTATAATGATAAATTTATTATATACCCACTTATAACTAGCTAAATATAGCAAAATAAAACTTCAGAGATCAATTGTATAAATATTTATCCATAAAACAAAGCATAATAACAATGGACTTTTTAACGCGCAAGAAAAATAACGTCATGTTTTTGCGTACTACGTCATCAGTTTCAGAGAGTGGTGATATGGATTCAGAAAACTACAGTATGGTGATCTGGAAAGTCGGATCACGACATCACGTGATTGCGTTAATTCTACAGTAAAATTGAGTGATACACGTTAGGTATATAATAAAGAATTGAACTACAACATGTACAAAGGGGTACAAAATTAGTAATATTTATAAATTTTTGGTCACCATGGTTACTTAAACTATGATAAAAATACCCTTTAAAGATGCTAGTCCTGTAAAGTTTTGGTCTGATTTCAACTATAAAAATGTTTTATATGCTATGTTTATGTGGTGTTGCTATGTTTCTTATCAATAATATTTGCCAAAAAAGTTTTATTTAGACAGCTGAGAATAATTTTACATGAAAAAAAATATAGGTAAATAACTTTGTAAAATGATCTTATTAGAGATGTGCTGATAAAGCAAAACGGTATGTACAGTTCATAACTTCCTGAATCTTGATGAATATCCTATTACACTTACTGAAAAGGAAGGAAAGTGACACTAAGATTGCTGGATAAAATAACAGGTGTTCAGAGAAAAAAATTGTATACCTGTACTCGTATGTATGATGGCCAACTTTATTTATTTTGAATCTCTTAAATAGGTTTGTCGACTTAATTTATTAAGATTATACTTTATACGAATTACTTAATATGATACATTACCAGTAGTTTTTGTTTGTTTGTGTAACTGTACAATGTACACAAACTTTTTCCACAGGGTCATTCTTTGGCATTACAATTTCTGTCCTTCAATCCATAGTCAGAAAATTTCTTAGATTGCCATTGTATGTCTCTAAGACTTATGAACTGCAAGTATTTTATTACTGGAATTTCAATAGAAAATTTTAGCACATGGCATAAAAATATATTGGAACCTGGAAAAAAGTGCATCTAACATGTCTAAGGTACTTGGTTTTCCTAAAAATGTCACAAATTTTTTAAAATCCTTTTTCCATCTAACAGTTGAAGTACATTGGGGAATTAGCCCATACTTGGACCAAAAGAAAAAAAAAGAAAAGAAAAAGGACTATTAAATTTGACTATTAGACAAAAGAATTTTTCTGAACCTTTTTCTTAAAAGATCAAAATTGGTACACTGTTACTTTCTAAGGCACAGTAAATGATCTGGTTTTGGCGGTCACTAGGTCAAATGTCAATATTTTCCACACAATATCTTGAAAAATCTTTCAATGATAAAGATCAAACAATTTAGTTTTATGGTTGTTCAATTCTCATAGATATCACAAAATTTCAGTATCACAGCATACATTCTAAATTCAAAGTTGATCTTTTCCCACTCTGCCACACACTGGGCTTATATATTTCTATACTATATCTTCTTTCCTTAATATAAAGAGGGCTTGGTGCTATAGATAGTTTTCAGTAGACCCAAATAAACAAGAGTTATTTCTCATTGGCTGCCATCTTAGTGGTCAACCTGGTAATTTTCCCTACCAGATATAAGAGGATGCAACAGAAATATTTGGGGGGAAATCTTCATGGAATAAAAATTATGAAATAAAGGAGGCTCTAACAGATGTATATTTTTAAGAAAAACAATGCTTCCAACCCCACAATTGCCATTATAAGAAGTTAAAAGTTGGTTGAATAATGAAGGAATAGGAGCATGATGACCCCCTATATGGCGGCCAATGGGAAGTAACTCTTGTAAATTTGGGTCTACTGAAAACTATCCATTCATTGTAAAACAATTAAACTTTACAGTAGGTATCTTGGAGACTGACATTTCAAATACCATGGATATGTAAAAGTAATGTTTAGATCCCAGCAACTTGTTGTATTTCACACTTGATATATACATCATGTACATGTATCTTGAATCCTTGGATATCTCAAAGTTTTATCTTGGTCACATCAAGATAATGCGGTTTTACTGTATATATTTAAAATGAATATACATATATAAAGTATATATATTTTGGTTAACCAAAACATCGAGCAAGCTAGGACATGTATTATATTGAATAAATTACATTGAAACAAAGCATATCCTTTATTAAATATTTTGGTCTTTTCTTTTAGGGGGTGATGGTACAAACAGCCAAGAACAGACCACTAGTTCATCAGAGAGCGATTCCAGCAGCTCAGAACTTGAAGACCCAGCTGAACGGTAGGTGATTTCATTCTTTATAAAGTCAAGGGGACCTTTGTAATTTCAGACCTGTCACATTTTGTTCTACTCTTGCAGTGATTTTTAGAAATAACATTAGATTTTACTCAACACTTGATGAATTCATGTAATTCTTTTGAGTTTTCCTGCACTCCATTTGATGGTTAATGCTGATTAATGTTGAAACTAATAGTTTGTTTATCATAGTCAAGGTTCACATTGAAAGTTTCATATGCAAACTCCCATAAGTTATGGAAATAATAATTTAGATTAATCAATAATTGCAATTAAATAAAAACAAAAAAAAAGAAAAATTCTTTTAATCTCTAAATTATTTGTCTTGCTAATAACAGATTTCCAAATTTGTATCATTTCCAATCATTTAAATAGCTATGCTGGTGTTGGCATGTAAATTTGGCACACAATTTCTTCAGTTTGTCAAGTATGAAGAAGTATAAGATAATTTCTTGTTTTTCACTAAAATTGCTTTATTATGAATATCAACTATAAGAATATTTTGTGAATGCAATTAAGTTATTATAGCCCCCTTTTCTTGAATAAAGTGTGATCAATACAGGTTATAAACTTTAGCTTTACTAGAATGAATAGCTCATGGGTGGGAAATAATGGAACTAAATTGGAATAAAATTCTAAAACTCAAAATCAGTCAAGAATTTTGAATTATGTTACTTATTTGGCATCATCATCGAAGATCAAGTAGAAACTGAAACATATTTAATTTAAAAAAAAACAAACAACCAACCAACCAAACAAACAAAAACCAAAAAACATCTATAATTGATCAGTTGAGTGTTCTTTTGGAAATATCAAATTTATAAGACAAACTAAATATACATGTATGTAAGCATGTTTTTAAAATTACAAATCTTGTCATTTATGTCCTTGTATAAAGTAATCAGGTTATAGGTAGAACTAGAACTAGTACTGAAGACAAAGAATAAACTTGTCAGTATACTGTCTCCAGGAATCAATTAACACTTGAAAAATCAACTGTATGTGATAATTTTCATATCATTTATTCTGAATTTAAGAGATTTTTAAGGAAGTCTTAAGTAAAAATCAATATATACTTTTGGGTGTTAATTATGGTACGTTTTTATAATACATGTAGACTGTTTTGTGTTCCAGTGGTATAATAACATTTTATTGACCTACAGATATTATGCAGCCTTCCCTGCCTTACATGGAAAAGATCAGCACACCACACCTGATGACTCCCAAAGTGTATGGAAGAACAACCCAATTACCAAGCCAAAACCCAGCCAAACAGATGAAGGACTAAATCAGAAAGACCAAGCTCCAGAAAACCAACACAGAGAGCAGATACCATCCCAAACCCAGTCCAAGAAAAAGAAAAAACAAACTGTCAGGAAAATACACATGAGAAAAACACCATCCAGAAAAGAAGATACCAATCATGGAGTCTGTCGCTTCCTTAGCTTGCCAAATGGAAGTCTTAATATTGAAAAGCCTAACACACAGGCCCATTCTTTACAGGACAAGGAGCTATGCTCTCAAGTGGAGTGTATGCTGAAGGAAATTTTATTACAGAAGGAAGAACAGGCTTTGAAACAAAAGATGCCTTGTCCGGAAGAGAAGATAAGAAAGCCAACCAATGCAGAAGGAGCAGAGATTGCTGCAGGAATTAGTAGTCCAAGAGACACAGATGGGTCGGTAAGTCCAGAACTGCAAGAGGATGACTCTTGGTACACTCAACCAATAGACATCTTGTTCACAACTGAGGAACCCCGTCAGCGTCTTTACAAGCGAAACAACAGTAGCTCTGCCTCACCTCTCCAACAGAAGTCGGGCAGTGATAGTCCAGTTAGTCCAGATGGGGGTCTCATGCAGCAGTCTTTTGTGGATGATACTTTCTTTTTTCCATACTCCACTTCAAACTCCAGTGAAACTGGATTTTCCAACACATTTCCTGCTCATTTGTCTCACTCTATGTTTAACCAATCTGAGCCTGAAGCAATACCAAACCCAGACACTGTTTTGAATCCAGAGGAGTGCGGGTTTCCTATCTTCTCTCCTTATGATAATCTTCCTCAAACAACACCTACAAGTGAGAAAGGGGAAAGCTTGATTGATAGGTGCTTGACAGACAGTTGCATTGAAAATATGCCAAACAGTGTAAGCTTAACAACTATCAGTGACCTGGAGGATTTACAGAAAGGCATGGAAGATTTGGATCTAGATGAGAGCTTGGCATCATCAGAAAATTTATTGGACCATCAACAATTTGATCAAATTATGAATACGGCAAACCATCAAGAAGTAAACTGCTGGAATAACAACTTGCAAAATTTTGACAGTTTCCTCCCTTCAAATGTAGCATCAACTTGGCCATCAAAAGTTCTGGTGGATGACTTGATGCCAGATGTTCACTGGGATGAAAGGAATGAAGATTACACTGCAGATTTTTACAATCATTTGAAGTATGGGAAGATCTGGCAAGTTTGGGATGTGAATTATCAAAAGATCACAGGTACCTACTCTGGTCCTTTGAAGAATCCACTACATACTTGTTGGAGTGACTGTGGATTGTTTGGTATGTCCTCTTGCTGGGATCCATGCCAGCCTGGGGAACAGTCTGATGTTTGGGGAAGCTATGGTTTATATCCAAATTCTAGTACCTGGGGAGATTATTGGAAACTGAAAGATTCCTATGGAAAAGATTTTATAAAAGAGGACTTAAGTTTGGTGGAGACATCAGAAGATGTGAATCTGCTTGAAGACCCTTGTAATCCACTAGTTATGGTTGATGTGGATCAAGATTCTGTGGTGTGCCAGCTAGAAAACCAGAATAGTGAATTGATCCCCCAAATTCAGTTTGATCTTGTCTCTGAGGTTGGAAGTGAGTACGACAATGTTCTCTCAGATGGAGAAAATGATCAACTCAGTAACAGCGAAGATGATCAATGTTTCTCTAGAAATCTCTCTTATGGGGATTTCCAGACAATGTGGTCCATGGCTGAGCATTCAACACCAAAGAAATTTCATCTGTCGCGAAGCTTTGAACTGGTGCCCTCGGAGGGATCGGCATTTGTTGATGTTGTTCCAAAGAAGATTCACCATGTGCTTAGCGAGCCCATCCTAGTAAGCCAAGAAATGGAGTCATTGACCACAAGTTCATCTTGCAAAAAACGAAGTTGTAAGTCAGACTCCAGTTCACCTGAAGAACATCTTTACTTCTCTCAGAAGACCCACTTTCAACCAATTCAGTCCCCAGTTGTACAGAATACTGGATCTACTTACAACTTGAGAGACCTGTTTGGTGGTTATGCTCCTTCGAAAACACCATACCAGAAATTCCAGACAACTACAGATGATGAAGGGGATGAGGATGAAGAAACTTTTGTTCCCATGTTCAAGATTCGAAAGGATCAGGATAAATACATACAGACAAGCTCAAGTCTGGATAGTGATGATGAAAAAGAGCTAAAAGAGGGAAGTGAAAGAAACAATGGTCTGTTTGGAAATGATGGAGAGGTCTTTGATTTATTTGGATATGTTGAAAATTTGACTGAATCCGCAGAATCAACCCCGAGAAATCTTTTGGAATGTGTAAACAACTGTGTGGATTCAGGATATGAAGATTTAGATCAGCATGTTCAAGAGAAAGACGAAGCAGACAGGGCTGGTTTTTATAGAGGTCCTACAATGAATAAGAAGGGGGATCCATGGTCTATGGAATATGGATTTTATCCAAAGCAGAACATGTGCTCATGTGGAGAATTGGCTAAAGAGGAAAATTGGTTGTCTAATGTATGCAGGGATTTAAGCACAGGAAACTCACTGCTTGATTATTCGAAACAGAATGTATGTTCTTGTGGCAAAACACCAGTGGTCAGAGATGGGGAGACAGACACCAGGAGAGATGCTGCTGTCTCAAAACCACCTGTCCATCAATGGGTCATTCAGGAGGCCTGGGGGCTGGATCCTGGGAGCGAAGGTCAACAAGAGGCAGCCCTCAGTCACAGTATTTGGAGCAGTGGCCATGAAGATGGAGCATTTTCTGAAATGTTCTACTATCCTGGACATGATGAGGAATCTGCTGCAGAACAGTACAAGCTAGATGACAGTTCTGCTTCTAAGCTGAAGGACCCTTCTGAAGAAAATGAAAACACATTGTTTGATTTTAACCAGGATATGGTCCATGAGGAGAAGGAAAGCAAGTATACAATTGGCAAAATGAAGGAAACTGGCCAGTCTAATTCATATATAGCAGATTCTGATCCCTACGGCCAATCATTTATGGAGATGACCTCGTACTTTGGAGATGATGTATCGGACACTAGCAAGGCCAGACCTGATCAACAGTGTGCTGGTCAACTAGATAAAGAGAATCATCCACCAGAGAATGACTCGGACATTGTCAAAGTCAAACTGGTCATCAAAAAAGGAAAGAAGAAACAGGACTTTGAGAATTTGGACACAAATGTAAGTTCTAGTTTGCTACATTATCAAGATTTGAAGATTTATAAGGTATATAGATTTTATCATGTATTTTGAACTTTGTCTTTATTCTCTTGCAGCCACCTCTTTTTATGCCCATGCCTGTGGCTGCTGTGTACTCGTGTGAGTTGGAGCATGCCTGGATGAATAACATGGAGGTGGAATGTCTCTTCCCACAGTCCCTAAATGGTAAAGGTAAAAGAATAGATAGAATTTTCTAAAGTCAGAAAGGATGAGGTGACTTGCGGCCCCCGGTAAATTGACAAAAAATTAAATGTCTAAATTTTGCTCAATTTTTTGTATGTAACTAATCAATAATATGTGTACCTTTATAGAATACTATTTTTAACAAAAATAGAAACGTGATTTGAAAGATATAGATCTTTTTTCGGAGGTAGGGGTATCATGTGTACATCCAATTCCCATTGCATTTTAACCCCACCCCACTCTTTGAAGCCCTTAAAATATACGAGTGCAGGTAGGTACAATTTTCTCCTTTGGCTGGTCACTGTATTTTATTGAAATCTACCTATATTTGAAAGGAGAAAATTGTACCTAACTGCGCTCACATGCTATTTTTTAAAAAATCGTAAAATCTAGCTGGCCTTTCCCATTATGAACAGATTGACGGAACTCGATTTTCTGAGGTAAGAATGAATTCATATGCTAATCGAGGCACTGGCGATACTTTCTAACTGACAATCAGCTAAATGAAATTCGTTACGAGTGAGTGCCACAAAAATACTATGGAAACATGCTGGAATTTTACTGCTTTCCGATATTTTTTTTTATACATTTGAGTCACAGATTAAACAAGGACCTACATATGTACAATTTCCGAGATCACAGTGAAATTTATCTACAGTTAGGCCAGATAAAATTAATCTTTAGATTCTCATCCTAATTTACTATAAAATCGGGGCGGGTGGGCAGATTTTATTTTTTATTTTTTATAATTGTTAAATTGTAAGTATCAACAAAAGATGGACTCTTCGTACACATTTTTTTTTCATAATGTTAATGCCAATATGAATAAATTTTACTCTTTTCATATTCTTTTAAATATCTAAAGAAGATTCTTGCTTTTAAAAAATTAAAAATTTATCGTTACTTAACAAATTATCAAGTACACATATACGGCACACGCCAAACAAAATGAGATGGGGATACCAGTATATTGTATTTGCATGACTTCTCATCGGCCTCTCCCCAAATACCTTTTAGTTTTACCAACAAATCCCTCTGTTTTGGGTAAAATATCATAAATTTCCACCTTCCTCAAAAATTTGATCGTTCTTGATTAAAATAGGTCATATTTGCAAAATCTATAAAATATTCTAATAAGATATTCTATTGTAAAACCTAGGTCTGAACAATTTTAAGATTTGACATTTTTTTAGCACTTAGCATTCTCTAAAGTCTGTCAACAATGTTTTGTTTTTTTTTCAAAGTAAAATCACACACAGCTGGAGATCGTTAAAACTTGACTGGTGTCATTTTCCTTGTCTATTTTAGTTAGTTAACATCTCTCTAAAAAAAATTGCTCATGCCAGTGAAGTTATCTAGATGTGTTTATGCTATTTTTTCACTGCCTTCTCTATACTGACAAATTATCTCTTCCTTCCATATTTAAACTGCTTTTATTGCCAATTTTTCTCCATTCTTCACATGGCTCTTTTACTATAAATAGCGACACGCGACTTTTAATACAGACGGGAGATAACTCTTAAACTTTGACCCAAATTCTTGCAGAATGAAAATACGTGAAAATACTTTAATTAACACCTAAAAACACTGGGGCGGGACATTTTTAGAGGGGCGGGCGGGGATGAGAATCTAAAGATTAATTTTATCTGGCCTTACAAACAATTGATAAATATACATTAGTTTAAAGTTTTGTAGCGTGTTTGGTAGGCAATGCCCGAGTATCCGTGAATACAAGTGCCATGTGCATTTCTTGTCCTAAAAACCATAAATGCTGAAAGTCCATGCGTATTATTAAGTATAAACAGCCTTGGCTGACCATAATAAAAGTTTGAAATGTAGAAAAGGATAACAGGTAAATTGACCTAAACCACATGTCTGTGATAAAATGTAAACATAGTAAATCACCATGTTTTGTTGTTCTGTCATCGGATTGGACAATGACTATGTGCGAAATAATAACAATAGCCATATAAGGTCTTCTCGGACACGCATATCCCTCTATTGTACTAAGACCCGCCCATTCTCTTTCCATAAAAGAACATACCCAAATTTAGCTGTGACAGGGTCTAAAAAATCAAAGATAATGCAGTATTCCTTATAATTAAAATGTGTCTTAACTATTGAAACTATTCAAGAGGCATCGTATTAATTCACTCATGTTTGAAAACTACAAACATCGTTGTAGACTAAATATAATTCGTCGTGGAAAAAGGGACCCCAGATAGCAGTTATGTCACATCATCCTTTGAGGACAGGTTTGATTTCTGAAACATTTGTAAAACTATACAGCCTATTCTAACAAAATGTTTGTACATAATTACAGGAAAGAAAAAGCCCTGTACCTTTTTCTTGGAAGGAAACTGCCGACGTACAGATTGCAAGTTTGCTCACGATCTGTCCCACATTACCTGTCGCTTTTGGGAGGAAGGAGACTGTTTTAAGGGAGAGTTATGTCCCTTCCTTCATGGATACAGTCCATATGCAAGGTAAATACACATGTTAATATATTACTGGCAAAAAAAATAAAATGACCATTGATCCAGAAAAATGCACTATAGAATTTTACTTGTTTTTTAAAGGAAATCAAATCACCATGCATCTGAAAGGAGAGATTTGAAGCCATTCAAGTATCAAGCAGAGGATTTCCCCAACTTAACAAAAACTGAATCTAAGGTACTGTGTCTTTTTCTCTTGTAGTCAAAGTGGATGCATGCAATATTTATGGTATATGTAAAGAAAAATGTCAATTTTTTTTCCCAATTTTCAGGGAGACAGGTCTAAAAAAGACAAGTACAACAAACTGAATAAATACAAAGCCTCCAAGACTCAACTGAAGACACAGATAAACAAAAAACTACAAAAGAATAATGTTGTACAAGAGGAGGCAGAAAACCTTCCCAAGAAACTGAAACAAAAGGGCTCGCAATAAGAAAACTTCAGAGAGGTGAAGTAAGAGAGGCCTCGTATAAGAGGAAAAACCTAGAGGGTGTGAAAAGTTGACCCAGTTTAATGGAAGTGTCCCCCCTAGTGGGTGCTCCCATTAAAGTGTGGGCCTGTGTAGAATCTAGTCAGGAGTATTAAATTTGTAGATGGAGACTAGGCATCTTTTGTTCATTTCGAAATGAAAATATTTTGTGTTATTATTCTGCACATCTTACAGTCTTTATAATCAGTTACCTAGTGTCATGGTTTATCATAAAAAAATTATATCATGTTTTTTCCTACTCAAAGAGTCATGGTGTGTAAATTTTTAAAAATTTGTTTTGCAATGACTAATAAGATAAAATGAGTTTTTCATAACAAATATTTCTTTCTTGGCCAATTAAAGTCTGTTTTAGTAGTACATGTACCACTATGTGCAAGGGAGTTTGTTGAAAATTTGCCGGATTTGAGATTTAAAAGACTAGAAAAATTGAATGGCACTGTGAAGTTTTTAATGAAAGGAAAAAGTATAGTTTTTGACAATTTTACATTATTTAAGAGGATTTTTAATATGGTATTGACAGATGTTACACTAATGCAACCTCTGAAATTTCCAATAATTTCAGATTTATTTTTAAGATCTGGGCAAATCAAAATTAAAAACATAATAATGTCTTCATGTTGAAACCTCTAAAATTCAGTAATAATCTTGAATTTGCCAAGATTAATATGTAGAAATGTGTTGTATTTGATCAGCTTATTTCATGTACTATAATTTTTATGTAAGGACAGATGATTTGGTAGACATCTTGGTATAAAAATACAGTTCTTTTATATATACATTGTATATAGAAATCCCTATCACATTTGTTTTTAATTGGGATGAGAACAAAGAAAATGGCCCATGTGTGAAAGGTTGCTGATTCATGTTCAAAACAAAACTTAAAAAAAAATATTGAGTAGAGAGATAAAGAGGGAAAAAATGTTATTTTTAGCAATTGTGTGAATGATTGAATGTGATTTGAATCATTGAGATTTGTTTGAAGTCAGTAACAGAATGCAAGTGTAATGTTTGGGGTACCAAGATGTAAATGTTTGAATAAGTGTAGTGTAAGTGTAAATTGATTTGCCTGAAATGGCCACAAGATCCTGAAAGATGTGTGAATGATGATACATATGTTTTAAAAAAATAATGCAAGGACGAATACCTAAATTTAAGATCACATTATTAAATTTGCATTGAATTTTTATGAACATGAAAAATATAAACTGTAGAAAAAGAAAACCCCCCTCCTACTTCAAATTATGAGAGAATATAAGGATATAGAGGGGGTGTTCTATTTTTAAGGATTTACAGTGTAAATGATAAAGGATTTATTTTTATGTCCATGATTTGGCCATTTTCAAAGCAATAGTAAACAAAAAACTATGTCTGATTGGTGTGTATATGATAAAATCAATTTTGTATGTCCAGAGATAATGAGTAACAAATGAATGATATGAATGAATGATGTTTGATAAGTGGAAGATAAAACTAAAAGAAGGGCCTGAGTCTACCATCATTATTATATTTCACAGCACACTTGTGAAATAGAAAAATTACATCAGAAATGCTGTGCACACATGTATGGATAAAAAGTGTATGATACTATGATACACAGTGTATCAAATATTTGATACATTGGGAGAGTCATCATAATTTTTTTTTTTTTTTTTTTTTTTTTGTATTTTCATTTTATTTTTGGCTAATAACCTGTACAGATTGTTCACATTTCATATAGAGGGAAGTAATTGATGATTGCCTGTTGTATAAATGTTTTTTAAGGCACTTGAGCCAATCTTGAGGTCATAATTTGTGCAAATGATTTAGTCCTGTGTTGAGCAGAAACAGAACTAAACTCACTGAAAGTTAAAAACTAAAGCAATTGCTACCAATAGGTGCACATAATTTTATGTTGAGTGTTGGATTAAGTTGACTAGAGAGCTGTAAGTAGCAAGTTCATTGTACATTACCAGTAATGTTGGACAGAAAAAAAAACTGTAGATGCTTTTTCATGCAATCAGCTCATCAAACATATATTTTTCATTCAGCAAATATGTCTTGATTATAAAATTCATAGAAATATAGAAGAAGGAAATGGTAAATATTTCGTTTGAACATAAATTGTAATCAGAATATCTTCAAATTTGGGAAGTCAATATTGCAAATAACTGAAACAGAATTTTATTAATCATTTAATATAAATGATTCTATTTAGGCCAAAAAAAATATATATATTGAAAATGAATTATAAGCTACTGTGGTGTACCCAAGTCATTTTTTTTAGTACAAAGGTGTAAATATTGACTGTATCTACATGTACATGTATTTCATTTTCAACATACTGTAAATGCGCATGCCATTTATCTTGATAGATAATCATCAAGTATTGATGAACAGAAATCTTCTAGATGGGAAAATCATTCAAATATTGTGCATAGTTAAAATTTAAATGTGTACTTAAAAGTTAAGAATGCCTAAATTGATAACGAAGTTGGTTATACATGAAATATTTATTTTATTATTTTTTATCAAAGGGCAGATCACTCTAATTGCATAAAAACAGAAGGGTCATTATAACAGTGTAAAATATTTACATTGAAAAAAAAAAAGTATTGGTTCATTGTGCATAGTTAGGTGAAGGAATGTTTCCTGGTTTCTGTAGACAGAATTCAGATTGTCCGTGGTCTTACACTTACACATATTTTTCGGTCTGCCAGATACCTAACAGAATACACTGCTTATGTTTCTTCTCGTTTATTATGGGGAATATAGTCTCAGATTGCTATACTATCTTACTCTGTAAAATCAATAAGAATTTACAGTGATGGAACAATTGATAATAATATGTATTCTGATTTGCTTATTCTATGCATAAGTTGTGTAGATAATCACAATACTGCATCATTGAATGGTTTTACTTTTATTCCTGTTATAAAAGTATTCATTTTTATGTGTGTACAGTGTCTGGCTACCTTATGTTAATTAAGAAAAGCCTGTCATAAACCTTTATTTTTCCGTTTTCATCCCAACACGTTTTTATTTATATCATTTAGTATACATGTATTACACTCCATTGACATGTACATGTAAAATCATTTTGCGTATGAGACTAATTTCTCAGTTTGCGAAGCAAAAATTGTTTTTAAAAAAATTATGAAAATTCATTTCATTATTTATAACAATTCATATACTTAATCCATCATTTTCCCTTCATTTCTTTTGTTAATTGCATTTTCAGTAAAGAATTAACATTTCTGTGACTGTTCTTGTCAATTATCTCCCTTTCTTTCATTCCATCTTTTAAAGAGAATTAAAACTGACTTTTTGTTTAATGAGTATGATATAAACTGTTTGGCAAAAATGTGCCATTTAAGTTCTTAAAATTTGAATGTTGGATTTTTTTTAAGTTTAATTATTTAAACCACTATTAAATGATTGAAGAAAAAAAATTCTATGCATTAAAAAAAATCCAGAAATGTTGAGTCTATTATTAGTAATTATATCTTCATTTTCGGAAAGCTCTTGTACTAAAAATTTTATATGATGACTTTACATCAAATCATTTATGATTTCTGAGATACAGTGTATATAGCCACTGGTTTGTCAAATTTTATTCAGATTTTTTGGTCAAGATATCTTGTTTTGAACAGTAATGAGCTAAAACCACCACCTTCAAGCAAAATAGAACAGCTGTATACACTGTACCTAAAGCTTTATTGTTTTTTTTATTTGTGGAAAGCTAGAGCAATTTACTGCAAAGTACTTAGCTGAATGTTGTACTAATAGAATTGATTTTCCAAATAAGAGGGAAGATCCCAAAAGAATGTGAAACTTTTGTTTCTGAAAAAATGAATAATAATGCAAGTAATATTATAATCCATGTAACTGAATTGGGAATTTTAAGATCGTAGATGATTTTTGTGGCATATTTTAACACCAAAGGCCACGTGTTTTGACTGAGTAGATATTTGTTTGAAGTATTTCTTTGTGGTGTGTGTTACCTTTACAGAGGTTCTGAGGTGTAATTATCCCAGAATGTCTGTGGAAAATGTTTGAAAGTATTACATCACTGTTTGGGTAAAGATGACTACTGTACATCATCTAAGAATTATCTTTACTGAAATAAAGTTTATGGAAATGAGGTGATGTTTTCTTTTTATTTTATTAACTGGAACTGTTAATATATTGGTGCTTTTAAGTGAATCCATCACGTACTAATTGCATGATTGCTTAGTATAATGAGAAAAAGTGTCTTTCAAAATTGTGACTATCACTTGGTCCTTGAACTTGATCCTTGTCGCCAGGGTATGGTATAAGCTCATCGTCGAGGTTAGCTAAAAATGAGACAAGTATACCTTTGTACATTATATGTTCTTCAAAGACTAAGAGAGGGCAGTCCGAGTGGGTGTGAGATGAGTCTCTATGCTCGAGCACCATTGATTTTTTTAGTATATAATGATGATGGTGACAAATGGTAGTGTATTATTACTGGCAAGTTCAAGCAATGGACTTTCTTTTGTTAATTCATATTATCGTCACATGAGAGAGAGAGAGAGAGAGAGAGAGAGAGAGAGAATAACAATCCGAGTACAGAGAAAGTTTTATATTGCATATTTTTATTAAGAAAAATATAATAATTATATGTAACAGTATGCTTTTTCTATCATGACGAGTACTAGACTATTTTATTGATCCCTGAGCATCTGAATTATTTTTCATTTATTTTAATTGCTCTTAATTGTCATCAGTCAAATTATTTATTTTGTTTTATACCTCAATATATGGATCCTATCCTGTTGTACTCAGGTTACCCTAAAGACCCCTGGGCCGCTTGTTTTGAAAAAAAGAGCGACGAGATCTCCCCATCCCTCATTCACTCAAAATTTAATTGTTTTCCAGCTTGAGAATTTTGGATTTACGGCAGAGTTGTGATACACCCCCCCCCCCCCCCCTGAAATGCATTGTAGAATCCAGTCAAAAAAAACCTGCTATCATAAATATATGTAAAAAAAAAAAAAATTATAATAAGGATTGTTGCAGATAGGTAGAATTTTGAACTTCTGACATAGGAATTTGTTTTTTGTATCATTTGCAAACAAAATATATACCCATCCCTGATAATTATTTTTCATTTATTTTAATTGGAATTTATTTATTTTGTTTTACCTCAATATATGGATCCTATCTGCATCCATTTTTTTTTTATATGACAAGCCCCTTAACTTATATTAGGATATTAACGGGAAATTAAGGTATGACTCCTCTCCTTCAAATTGAAAACTGTTGGGTGTTTTGATGTCTCCCGTTTTTAGGATGGTTGTTTCTTTCAGAGCATTGCCTTGGCTCTAAGTGTGCATGTAAAGGGTGTTTCAGAAAACATGAAACCATTTTGATCGGTTACATCTTACTCCCTTAACATACCAAATTGAAATACACGATCTCAAAATTTAAATTCATAAAAATCAAATTAATCTGGCAAATAGATGAGTGAAAAAAGAACAATGGGAACTTCTAAAATTTCACTTAGTCACAAAATATGCTCGCAATGACGTCATTTTTGCCGAATAAAAAATGAGTCGTCAAGCGGAAAGGGGCCTTCGTAACCAAATTTTCGGAAATCGTTTTGACGGTTTCTGATTGAAAGAGCTAGTCCTGATGAATATTTTACCATTTTTTTTTGTTGCATACATATTTAAGTCTAATTAAAACTCAAAATGAAAACAATGTAATGCTAACAGGATAACGCAATAAAACGTTAAATAATGTCACATAACGTCATTGATAATTTGCAACGTCATAATTTATCACCCTTTTGTATTAGTTAGAATTTTTTTTTCAGATGTATTTTAAGTTTTTTGTTAATATCAGATCATTTATCTCGGAATCTTTTGGTTTTCTTAGAATTATTTTGATTATTTTTATCTTCCATGCTCCATAGTTGATCAGTGAAGAAAATACTGTTTTTGTATCCTTTAAATTCTATACGTATTATCCAATTGTCTTGAATTGTTCTCGTTCCTACGACAATTTTTATTGCAAAGACGTCAAACTAAATCTACCATCCTAAAATTTACTAATTATCTTTTATTTATACTTTCACTTCCTTTTTGATCTGTGTCCAATGGTAACTTTGTTTAGCAAGTTTTTAAATACCGTGTCTGTCACGTTCTATAATTGTTACCCACACTTTGATCTTGCATAACTCTTTTCCTCTTCTTTCCTCTCTTTGCCTCATCTCGCATGGAAACAGAGGTATACCCCTCCCCTTACCCCGAAGTTATGTTACCAGTATATTATACTAATTTTCAATAATGAACATTACATATTTACGCTTGTATTATTTACTGAAGCAGGAACATTTCACTAATATATATATATATATATACATACAAGACATCGGTAATCTCAAAGTAAAACGGTCTCTCGCTGTTGCCTCAATTAACATTTAGATAAATCGATAGCTTCACGTTTTATTAATTAACAACATTCATTTTCTCTTCTACGTTGATTCAATATATTTCTTTGAACTAGAAATAAAAGATATTAAGTGTTTAGCACATATGTTTCATATTTGGATATTTTACTGGAAAAAGACGTCAATGGTAACCCAACAAAAAGGCATGATTACTTCAATATTTCTATCGTAAACTTGCATTATTTTATATCAGTAGCAATTAACCATTATTACTTACATATTGAGTTTTTTGCTCCCAAAAGGTTGCAAGCTACTGACAAATAAGTTGAAGGAATAAGGATATCAATCCCTAATGTTAATCAATGTTAATTATCAATATTTCGCTTTTTTTTTGTTCGATACAATGACCTTGTCAGCAAATAAACTCTATCATTAAGTCGAAAGTTAACTGATTTTTTTATTGAAATGTAGAAAAAATATTACCCTGAATTGTCTACGTATTATCCCGTTTGCAAAATCTTGCCAAGAAGCACACGACGGGAGGTAAAAGTCGGAGGTCGGGTTTCTTTCTTTAACATGACACCTGGTTCCACCTCTGATGCTTTTATTGGTCTGTATGTGTTTCTACTCAAACTTTATGTTGTTTCATTGGACTTTTATCATTGATTACTCTTTGAAATCGCTGGAATACAATGATAATAATGAATTCTTTACTTTTTCAGATCTTTATCGTGCCTTCAAGTGTTTTTTTTGTACTCTATACTGAAACGCAAAAGAAACGCAACAAGCAGTAATCTACAAATGTTTGTATTTTTATCTAATGATTTTCAAAAATGAATACAGTAAGGCATAACTCACCTTTCAAAACATCAGAGAGTTGATAAAAATGTTAAATGATTATCTTTGAACTTTAGAAAGTAACATATATGACTGTTAAAACACCCCCCCCCCTCCAGCCATTCAATTGAAACGTGCAAGACTGCAGGCCCTACACAACAACTGCAGCATAATTTCTACGATACAATGTGTTCATCAATATCGAGATCTGAGCGAAGGAATTATTCTTTGCCATTTTTAAATGCCTGTTTTTCAGATGATTAGGTCGAATTTTCTCTAACCTAGTGCAGTGTAGTAACCCTTGGACTCCCGGTCCAAGGACTGTCATTAAGGCATATGATAAGTAAGATCCTGATGAAGCGTAATATAGTGAGTTTTTGCATCAGCAACTCTCTATCACCTTGATTTTGAGATTTTCCAGCTAGAGCAATGGAAATGCATACTTAAGGTAGGATTCTTCTCCGGTTTCTGACTAGATGGAATAGTCAAAGTATATTTGTTGATATTGCTTATGTATTTAGGTGTAAGAGATTTAAAAGACCATATTTTTCTTTTCTCATCACAATTATACAACTTTAAATAGAAATGGTAAACTGCGTTTGAAAACTAGCAGGGACTAAATTTTTGGCGGAATGGTGGCGTATGAAAATATCTTCTTTTCTGCCTCTAAAAATATTTATAGAACATTGAATTTAGTTTTAATTTTTACGCAATCAAAAACTAGATGAAACTTTCAAACGTAAGTTAATTTAAAAATAAGGGACTAAGTTTCAAAATGTATCAAATAAATAAGATTTTTCACACATACTAGAACTATGTTGGCTTTTAAATGCTTCAAATCTAAGTACAGATTTGAGCCAAAAATCCGTAAAAAGAGTTATTTCTCTCTTAGGAAACGATCAAAACATTTAGTTTTTGTATCATTTTGTATAATTATGTGACAACTTTACAATATGTGAGAATTGGAAAAAGTTAAATATAGGAAGCATATAAAAATAGCTAATAAATCCTAAAGATTTTAGAAAAGTAGAGGAAATTTGGATTAGCAAATATCCAGTTTATTTAAACTATCAATGTCATTTTGGTAATATCATCTTATAGGCCCTATATGGTAGTTTCTTTTTATACAAAAAGAAAAACGTTTAGTCTTTTGAATAACAAGTAGGGATCGCATGATTGGAAACATTAATTTTTTATTCTTAATGTCCAGGAAAAAGGTAATAACCTTGACCTGACCTTGCCTCTAATATCAAACGGTCAAATTTAATCTCACTGATACCATCACTCAGTGATATTGTCCTCTTGATTTGGTAAAAATTTCATTAATTTTTAAATACAAGAAATGTGAGAAGAATCCTACCTTAAGTCATTTTCAGGAAGCCTTAGCATCGTTACAGGAAACGAAAGGAGAATTTATTTTTTGAAATATTGCTGCATTACTAATGCTGAACAGTTACAAACCCTTAAAACTCTTTAAAATAGACAAACGTTTTGTTAAATATGCAGTTTTTGATATTTGTTTACCAGATTCAAATTTGACCTCCCGTAATGGTATGAAAATCGTTCAACAGTTAAATTACTAATACTAGAGTATTTACAAAATTGAGGATATCCATATTTTTTAGATACAGTAATTATTTCCCCCTAAAGTAGGGCGATGTGTTTCTTTTGCGTTTCAGTATATAAGTATCTTAGTATATTTAGACAAATGCAGACATTTTTAAAGAAATTAACTTAAAATTAGTGAAAGTCTCTACCCACTCCCAAGAAGGATGTTTGAATTTTGGCAGAACTTTCTGTAGTTTTTATTTTTTTTTTTAAATTTTTTTATTTTTGGAGCTCGGTGCCTCCTCTTCTAACCACACACAGTTTTGATAAGTTTTGTGGATA